ACACACACACACACACACACACACACACACACACACACACACATTTATATACACGTTAAAAGTGATAGTAAATGATTGTTAGCTAATAAATAATTCAATATATTGTATATAAATTTTTTGTATAATACAAAAAAAATAGTGGACACAAAAATATAGTAAAAAGTTTTATTTTCTCGATAGTAAATTGTTGATAAAATACAAATTTAATCAAATATTGATTAGTTAGACTACACAATGTGTATATAAAAAATAAAAATAATAATAAATTAAGTTTTAAATTTATATAACTTTATAGTATATATATATAAAGTGTAAATTTGATAATATATCCTATATTTTTTTGAGAAAAAATAATTTAAATTCAATTATAAATATCTCAATAATCATTAATCAATATTACTTTGATTTCAATTGATATCAAAAAATATCAATATCTTAAAAATAAAAATTAATGTAAAATAACTGTTCAAATGGCAAATTATTTTTTTAAATAAAAAAACAAACAAAATTTTTTTAGAGTTTTAGAGAAACAAATATTTTATATTATTTTTTTTGTGTAAAATCTCAAAATATTTTTTTTATGATCCCATTTATGTGTGTATAAATATTTTAAATATATATATACATAATGTATACTGTAGTATATTATGAGATTTATTGCATATTTATATTTTTTATATAAATATATAATATATATTGTGTATGTCTAAAACATTTATTTTTTTTTGTTTGGTTGGTTGGTATGGACTCTAAACACATCCCTGTCCGCACATTTTGAGAGCCATAAAAATAATATTGAGAGCTATTTTTTATAGATTTTTTGTTATATATATATATATATATATATATATATATATATATATATATATATAATATACGTGTGAATAGCCTCTTAAAAACAATAGGTCATACCATAGCCAATACCATACGGTGCGTGTATGTGCTGTACAAACACTATGGATATGGATATGTTTTTTTTGCCAGCAATTCATATGGGCTTTAAATATAATACCTCTCTCTCTCTCTCTCTCTCTCTCTCTCTCTCTCTCTCTCTCTCTCTCTCTCTACAGTATATATATATTGGTATTAGATATAATAAATTTTACTATTATAAACAAATATATATATAAAAAAATGTCTATTTATATATTTATATATATATATGTTATATATGCGTTTGGGGAACCACATATTGATATGGCACAGGGATGTAAGTGTGTGTGTTTGACGAAAATTATTTATGCCTTATATATATTTATGTCATAATATCTTACATTTATTAAGGAAACAGTGAGTGAGTGAGTGAGTGTGTGTGTGTGTGTGTGTGTGAGAGAGAGAGAGAGAGAGAGAGAGAGATGAATAACCCGTAATATATTTGAGGGCCAGATATGTCTGTCACCAGAATTAAGATAAATAACTATTATTTTTGTTTTTGTCGTTACTATGAATGCCTAATCACACCATAGATTATATACGGTTGACTAACAATATATAGATAGATATATATATATATTAGTAATCTATTGAAATTTGTATGATATATACTGTATATAAATGCTTATATTTATTGCAAACACACACACACACACACACACACACACATAGACACAAACACACACACACACACATAGACACACACACATATATATATATATATACACACTCACACATACAAACTAACTCATACATACATATTGTTAAAATTTATAATTATTAAATACATGCAATTTATTGGACAACGTTTAAAAAATTTATTAAATAGAAAATACAATAATAACAATATTATATATATATATATATATATTAATATTTAAATCAAAATTACTTAATTTATTTATTATTTATATTAAATATTTATATCATAATATCATAAATAAATATTATATATATATAACAAATAGATATGTGACTTTTATATTTATATATCATATCATATACAATATTATTAGATACGATATTATATTATTAGATTTAGACAAACAAACAAAACAAAACCTTATGAAATATATATATACAAATAAAACAATAGTTGCAAAAATAAAATGTTTGATATATCTATTGAATAATAAAATATATATACAGTTTATACAATATATACATTATATTTTTTTTGTGATATGTTATATTAATATGCAATATAAATACAATATATTTCTTTATAAATATACAAATACTGTATATTATTTATCATATAATTTATTCAACAACAAAAAAATAAGATAAATAAAATGTTTATTTTTATTTGTTGACGACTATTAATGATTAGAAATATATATTTAAATATAAATATAAATTAACAAAACAATTGTCTAATAAATTAGAGACAAAACATTGAAATTATATATTGTTAGCAATATTTTTATATACAAAAACAAAATATATACTAAATAATAATTATTTAAAAAATATATATAATTTTTATACATATTTTTTGTTGAAAAAAAATCTATATAAAAAATATGTTTTGAGTTATATATGTACATAAAAATAAAAAACTAAACCATTTTTGTTAACCTACCTCCCTGTCCTCTCAATTTATGACAATATATATATCTATATATATATATATATATATATATATAATATATAAAATAAAATAAAAAGTTTTATTTTGTGTTATAGTTTTTATTTTGTTGGTAACATACAGTAACAACAATAACAACAACAACAACAAAATAATAAAGTGATAAACTTTAGCAAAATAAAAATCATAGCATTGTTTTTATTGACTTTTATATTCAATTCAATTTTATATATATATATAAAGTATATTTAGTATATATATATATACTGTATATATATATATTTGTGTGAAAATGTGTTTTTATCAACACTTTATTTATATAACTTTTTTTTTTAGTAAAAATATATATATGTTTTAGTTTTTTTAGTACCAATTTTTTTGTTGATAGTATGTATGTATGTCTACAACTTATTTTAAGTGTATACTCAATATATATATATATATATATATATATATATATATATATATATATATATATATATATATATATTTAACACATTATTTTTGTGTGCAAAATATATATATTTTATTTTGCAGTTTAGTTTATACATAAAAAAATAAATAAATCAGTCAATAATATTATATGAAAAATATGTGTCGATCGATATGACTGTCCTTTTATTATATATATATATATAAGTTATGACTATATATACAATATACACACAGTATATATGATATATACTAAATACTATACTAAAATTGTGTAAAAATAACGATTTTACTCAAAAAATATTATTATTATTATAAAATAATTGATTTATTGCATCAAAAAAAAAATTAAATTTTATAAAATTATCTGATTTTAGTACAAATATATATATATATATTTAATATTATTTTATTTTTTTTCTCAAAAAAATTCTCATAAAATTAATAAATATGATCTAAATATATATAATAATTATGATTTTAACAAATAATAAAAAAAATTATAAATAACATTATTAATAGTTGTCATTATTATTATTACTATATAATCAAATATTATTATTATTATAAATATACAGTTTAACTACAATCTATACTAACTAACTAATGGGCCATTATTTAGTACTAATTATAATTGAAATCATAATAAAAATAATAGTAATAAAAATAAATAAATATAGTATATATATATCTATATATTATAGTAATATTAATAAATGGCATGAATTTTTTTTGTTTTGTTTTTTTTGATAGATATATATTTAGTTATTTTTTTTGTACAGTATATTACTGTATATAATAATAATTATTATTATTAGTATTATTAGTATTATAGCCAATTTAAGTGTACATTAATTAAGTTAGTCTAATATATTAGTACAGTACTAGTAATATTGATAATATATTATTTTATTTTTTGTTGTTATTATTAATTATATTAATAATTTTTTATTACCCAAAAAATAAATGAGATTCACATTTACTGAAAAAAATCATAATATATATTATACAATATATATTAATATATAAAAAATAAATTTGTTTGTAAATAATATTTTTTATTATATAATAATTTAACTAATGCACGATAATAATAATAATAATAATACTGTAATATACTGTATTAATTATTATATGATATTATATGGTATATATATTGGTATGTATATATATATATATATATATATATATACAATATATATATATAAATATACTGTAAATTAATAGCTATATATATAAACAAAAAAAATATAAAACAAAATATTTTACAATAATTATTAACTAAATTATTAATAAAAAAAATAATGTAATTTTCAAACTATCGGTGCTATAGATTATCACTAAAAAAAACAACAAAAATAAAACTAAATTACATAACATTTAATTGACTGATTGATTGATTATTATTAATTAATTAATTTTATTTATTTATAATAACAATAGGAAAGCCAAGTCCATCGGTCGTATGGTTTCGCGGTAGTCGTCTAATAGACGATACCTATACTATCGGTCCGCACGGTTTGGTTCGCAACGAACTAAACATTAGACAACTAAACCGATCAGATTTTATGTCTGTCCTCACATGTCGTGCCAGTAATACCAATCTGTCGGAGCCGGTCGTCAGTTCCGTTGTACTCGACATGAATCGTAAGTTTTGATTATTATTACAATTTTTTTTTTCTGTAGATATTTGTATTTGTAGTTTAGATTCTGTATGTATTAGCTAACTGTCCGTAGAGTACATATATATATATATATATATATATATATATATATATATATGTATATATACACCTAAAATGCTGTTTAACTACTGTATAATTAATGTAATTATTGTGTGTATGTATGTGTGTGTGTGCGTGTAGGTGGGTGTGTATGTGTGAGTGTGTATGTGTGGGTGTCGGTGTGTGGGTGTGTATGTATTTGTGTGTTAGTGTGTATAATATACACTGTATATACTGTACTTGATTGTTAAACAGTAGTTTGAAAAATTTATAAAATAATTTTTTATTAATTATGTTAATTACATTTAAAAAAAAAATATTTATATAATTATTATATCAATTTTGTTACAAAAGATTTATTGTGAAGAAAAAATTAATTATTTTAGTAAAATATTTTAATAAACATTTTTTTTATTTTACTACAAAATCCTAATAGTTTTCTAATATTTAAAATATTATTTATAAATCAATTTTGTCATAATTATTATAGTTTGTTAAAAATATTTTTTTTTAAATAAAATATTTAGTAATAATGTTTTAATTTAATCGATAAAAATTTCACAACAAAAAAAATATTAACTAATTTATATATTTATTTATTTTGAATACTTAACAAACAAACAAAAAAATACAATAAAACTATTTTTTTCAATACATCATAAACTATAATATATAACAACAAAAATATATATTAATTAAATTAAATTTAATTAATTGTTTGTGTATTACTTACAGTAAAACCGTTGGACGTCCTAATCGTAACACCCAAACGGCCACTGGTGGCCGGCATACGTACCGAATTTCAATGTCGATCAAGCGGTAGCCGACCCGCGGCCCAGATATCCTGGTTCAAGGGTGGCCATCGATTGGCCGGCGGTCGCGAGTCCATCATAAACGACGGAAATACTAGTTTTTCGGTCATTACGTTTGTACCGTCGGTCGAGGACAATGGCCGCCAATTGTCGTGTAAGGCCGACAATATGCCGATGGCTCAGAGCATCGGCCATCCGGGTCTCGAAGATAATCGTATACTTAATGTTCATTGTATGTATAGTTTTTGAAATTTTTTTTTTAATTTTAGTTTTTTAATTATTTTATTATCTAATACTTATTGATAACATTTTTTTTATAAAAAAAAATTAACAATAAAAAAGTTTATTAATAAATAGATTAATAATTTTTTTGTTTAATTTTATTTTAAAGTTTTCTAATTATTAATATTTAAGTTTATTTTTATGTTTTTTTTAATTTTTTCGATAAATTAATTTATAAATTGAAATTAAGTGATAAAATGATTAAAAAAAATATTTTATATTTAATAATATTTTTGTTTGGCAATCCTATATAAGTAATAAATTAGATAATATTTTACAGACTATTAATTTTATATGATTTAAAATATTACAGTATTTTTTTGTGATTATAATAATTATTGATAAATAATTTTAAATATTTATATGCATGTATCAAACATATTAAACTGTAATTTTTTAATTAATTAATTTTCTAATGAGATTATTAAGTTTTATTGAAATATGTTAATTAGCAGTGATTTTTATCATTTAATTTACAATAGTTTTTTTTAGCAAAATAAAAATAAAATAATGTAAAAATATTATAAAATATAATTAACACATATATTTGATTAGTAAACAAAAAATTAGTTATAAATAATAATACAATAAATATTTAAACAAAATATATGATAAATAATTTTTTTTTAAAAATAAATTAAACAAAAATAAAATAAAATTATTAATTAATTTTTTTTAACTATATTTGTAATAATATTTTATTATTGTTTGTATTTTATTTTAATCTTGTTTGTATTTTTTTAAAAAATTTAAATAAAAATAAATAGTTGCACCACAAATTGAACTGAAATTTGGTGCCAACATCGATAAGGACGGCATACGGGAGGGTGCGGACGTCTATATGGAGTGTCACATACGGGCCAATCCGTGGATCAAAGATATCTATTGGTGGCTAAACGGAAAACCATTGATGCAACCGTCCATTACTGGTGGTGTGGGTGGTGGAGGGTCGGTAGGTTCAGTGGGTGGTGGACTACCGGCCGGTATGATCATCAGTAACCAGTCGCTGGTCATACAGAAAGTCAATCGTCGACACCGGGGTCGCTACCAGTGCACCGGTATTAACATTGAGGGCGACTCTACTAGCGATGCCATCGATTTGATTGTTAACTGTAAGTAGTTATGTCTAATAAAAAAAATAACCTAGATTATTTTTTTTTGTTTTTTAAAAATTAATTTATTTGCTATACTAGAACAACAATAATAAAATTTAACAGTAATATTATGAGCATGGTTAATTTTTTATACATGGTCAATTTGTTGTAATAATAATTAATTAATTAATTAATTAATCAATCAATCAACAATAATAATACTGTAAATACAATATTGAAATATTTGGTATTGAATTTAAATTATATATTTGACTAAAAAAAATAATGTTATATTGATATAAAAATCTTATATTTATTACTTACAGCTATTAATAATAATTGATGGATAGATATATAGATAGATAGATAGATAGTTATATCAAATTTATAAATAGATATATTGTATTGAAATATATATATATATAAAAATTTTTGGCAACTCATCACTTGCTTGGATATTATTTTTATTATATTTTATATATACTGTAAAATATATGAGTTTTTAATGTGATTTTTTTATAAACTAGTAAAAAGTACATTAGATATATATATATATCTATTAATAGTTATATAATAATAATAAATAAAAATGTATTTTATTTCCAAAGCATTTAATTTTTTGGTCATTTTTATCATATATATAATGTATATTTGTTACAAACATTGATATTAATAATATTATTATTATTATTACAAAAAATAGTTACATGTGTGTTTATATCTATGCTTTCACACAATATATTTATATGACTATTATTTTTTTCAAACCCCCCCCCTCAATGATTCCCCCATGTTTTACCCGACCCAATTTTTTACATTGAGCAAAAAAAAACTAAAATAAAATAAAACTAAAAATAAAATTAAAGTTTTATTTTATTGCCTTTTTTTAGTTTAAAAAAAATTTATAACTTGAAAATACTATGTTTTTATTTTTATATATTTAATATATATATATATATATAAAGCAATTTATTTTATTTATTATATTTGTCCCGACATTTGATGTTATATTTTATTTTATTTTTGCTATAGTTTTCAAACTCATATATTTAAGTATATTTATATATATATATATACTGTATATAACATATAATGTGTTAAACTTGTTAAAAAAAATATTTAAAAAAAATAGTAATCGATATATACTTTATATATAATATTTATATATTGCTATTGTAATAGATATGACCCAGAATTGTAATAATAATAATAATAATAATAATAATACTTCAATAATAGCGGTCATAATGTTAAATTGTGTGCAAATTTTTGTTTTTTTTTAGAAAAATAGTTATCATAAAAAAATTAAAACAAAATTATAATTGAAAATTTTATTTATTTAGTTATTAATTAATTAATTAAATAAATATACATTTAAATAATTATTAACCACAAAATACAATATAATTATATCGATTATAAAAAAAATATCTAAATATTATTAATTATTATATATAATTACAATTATTTATTTATTTATTTATTTAAGTTAATTCAATTAAATCATTTATATTAATAAAATAAAAAACCAACATTTAATAAATAGTTAGATTAATTAATTAATATATAAATAGTTAATAATTATATTAATAAAAAAATTAGTTATTTATAAAATAAAAACCTTAAATTAACCTTGCCTACAATATTATACTATTAATAACTTGTATATATATAGTTGCACCTGTATGCAAAGATGGCCAAAAACGTCAATACGGTGTCGCCCGCAATGAAATAGCACGGGTACGTTGTGAAGTTGATGCCCAACCAGCCGATTCAGGCCTAACATTCAAATGGTTTGCCAATACATCGGACTCGGAGCTAACGGTTTGGCCAGATTTTACAATGAATCGATCGGTTAGTATAGCCCAATATACACCAAAATCCCGTGAGTCGTACGGCCAGCTTATATGTCTGGCCCAGAATCAAATGGGCAAACAACTGGAACCGTGTGTCTATAATATTGTACCGGCAGGTAAGCCCTATTATTTTTTTTAATTATTATTATTAATTTAACAAGTACATTTATTAGTTTGTGTTTTTTTTTGTAAATATAAATAATAATAATTTTTTTTAAATGTTATTTAAATTTTTTTGGAAATTTATTATTATTATTAGATATTTAATTTTAAATAATTTACACACAAAAAAAACCAATAGATTTTGATTATTATTAATTTAACAAGTACATTTATTAGTTTGTTTATATATATATTGTATATATTAATAATAATACATTTTTTAATAATAGTGATATTTATTTAATTTTTTTTTAAATTTATTATTATTATTAGATATTTAATTTTAAATAATTTACACACAAAAAAACCAATAGATTTTGATTATTATTAATTTAACAAGTACATTTATTAGTTTGTTTATATATATATATATATATTGTATATATAAATAATAATAAATTTTTTAATAATAGTAATATTTATTTACTTTTTTGGAAATTTATTATTATTATTAATAGAAATTTAATTTAATAATTTAAAATAATTTACACAAAAATATAATAGATTTTGATTAGTTTTTTATTTATTTTTTATTTTGTTTTATTTAATCATATTTTTATTAAATTGAAAATTATATGATAGATAGTTATTTTATTTGATAATAAATATATATATATATATATACCAACAACAAAAAACAATAATAAATTATTATTTTTATTAGAAAATAATTTTATAGTATTATTTTTTGTATATAATAGTAAATAAACTTAAAAAATATTTTGTGAAAATATATTATTATTATTATTAAAAAAATGTATTTATTTTTCTATTAACACTAGAAATAACATTATTAATACATTTTATTATTATTTTGTTATTGTTTTATTTTATGATATAAAAGCAATAATATTTTTATTAAAAAAATAAATACTAGTTTTTTTTAATTAAATTTACAATAAGATTAGTAAAACAAAAACAAACAAAAAAATAGATAAAAATTTATTTTAAAAAAACATATAAATCTTATTTAGAAAAAAAATAATTTCATAAAAATCATATTATTGTTATTAATATTGTAATAATTAAATTATTTATTAATATTTAATTAATAATTACTGTATTATTATTATTATTATTATTACTACCCAACCCATACCTATCCCAAACCCATACCTATCCCAAACTCATACCTATTCAAACCAATATATGATATATATAGGTCCACCCGAACCGGTACGTAACTGTGCGGTAACTAATCACTCGATGACCACACTATTGGTCGACTGTGTGGCCGGCGATGACGGAGGTCTACATCCGTACTATTTTATCGAAGTATACAATACCGGCGACCAACTATTGACGGCAAATCATACATCATTGGGAATCGGAGGTAACGGTGCCGGCAATGGTGGTGGTGGTGGTGGTGGCGGCGATCCCGGACACCCTGCCTTTACAGTGGACAGCCTACAACCCGGTACACTATATACGCTTGTACTGTACGCGGCCAATGCCAAGGGTCGCAGTCACGGGGTTACACTGAGTGCGGCCACACTGTCGCCACCGGAGAAGCATATATCTAACGGTTTGTATCTAAAAAAAAATAAATATAATTAAAAATAAAACTTTAAAAATAGAAAAATTATTATAAATTATTTTTAATAATATTTTTTTGTTGATTTAGCTGTTATTAAGCTGTTATTTAGCTGTTATTTAGCTATTAGTTATAACATTTATTTTTTGTTTATTATTTATTTTTTAATTATTTTTTATTAGTATTTATGGATATTTCTAAAATATAATTAATTTAATTAAAAAAATTTATTTCCTGTAGGAGTCTATTTATTAAATAAATATTTTTATAATAAATAGTCTGTATTTTTTTCCATTAATAATTTGTTACAGTTTATATAATTATTGCAAAATTAATAGCATTAATATAAATTACTAGATTTGTTGTAATAATTTTTGTTACTTTTAATTTAATTTATTATTTTGATTGAAAAAATTTTCAATATAGATATGATATTTCATTTAACAAAAAAAAAGTAATTAATTGATAATTATTAAAAATAAGTAATTAATTCATAATATTTATCAATAGTTAGTTTAAATATCTATTTTGAAATTTTTTATTAACACATATTATATATTTATTTTTATAGTTATTTGATTACAGTTTTAAATAATATAAATCTAAAGTTATAAACTAATATATATATATATATCTAATATAATAATACCTAATATTATTATAAATTATAGTTAGTCTATAACAAAAATTTTGAAAAAATAAATTTAAAACTGTAACAAATTAAACAAATAAAAAATATATTTTTTAAAATAAATTTTATAAATTTAAAAATTATTAGCTATGTAGATTGCCTGTAAACTTTATATTAAAAAAAATTATTATTTAATTTTAAATGATATATCTAGATATTATTTTTTTAAATAAATAAATAAATATTGAATTTATTAGTTTCTAAATCTATTGAAAAAAATAAAAATATTTATACTAATATCTACAAAATACTAAATTGAAAAAATAATATATTTATTAAAATATCTAAATTATATTGTATTTTATTAAGTAATATATTAATTGTTTTTTTATATTTTTTTATCTAATAATAATAATAAACAGCAAGTTTTGAGCAAATAGTGGTAAACCCGGTGTTGGGTATATTGATAGCAGTGGTCGCCTCTATGGTACTGATTGTCATAATTGTCGTAATTGTCATCAAAATACGTTACAATAGCCGCCGATACGATAATAAGCGGACCGGTATGTTATCAATACTGTATATACTATATATATATAGTACAGTATATATTAGTATATATTAWATATTAATTTATAATAATTAAAAAATTTATAAAAATTATTTCTAGACTTAACTGAATTAAGTTCGCGAGGAATGCTTAATAAGTAAGTAATTGTTTTTTWTAAAATTTTTTGTTAAAATTATTATTATTTTTTATTTTTTTTWAATTTATACACACAGTTGCAAACACACACACACACACACACACACACACACACACACACACACACACACATAATTACAGTATATTTATCTATATTAAAAATTTKTATATAAAAAAATTGACACATTTTATCATATATTTATATTAATAATATTAATACATATTTTAAAAGATAATTATGTTTTTTTTTGAATAATATATATATAATATTTGTTTTGTGTGATTTATTTTCTAAATATATTACATATTATTATTATTATAACAATTGATAGATACTGTATGTAACTAATAGATAGATAGATAGTTAGTTAAGTGTATTTAAATAGCATATCAATAGAGTTGACAACAACAACAGCAAAATTTGTATATAAAATGAAATATAAATAAATACTTTTAGTTTAAATTTTTTAAAAAAATAAAAGTATYGCAAAAAAAATCAAATAAAAATATTGTGAAAAATAGTGAAATTGAGAGCACATTTGGGTATATCTCATATATATATACTGTATAAATGACTACTACTGTACTACTACTACTACTACTACAGTACTATCTGATTATATCAGTCCCTAAAGCAATACTAAACAATGATTTATTGCTTTTATATATTTTTTGAATGAATGACTGAATGAATGAATGAATGAATAATTTTGTGTTTGAATTGTTGAGAATATATATATATATATATATATATAGTATATATAGATATTTGAATACAAAAAAAAGTAAATTGACTCTCAATTTTTAAGTTATATTTTTATATATAATAATATATTTTTGAATATATATATATATAACCAACAAAATAAAATGATAGTCTATGACTGTTTGATGTCATAAAAAAATATTTTATTTTTTTGCAACAATATGTTTATTATTATTATTTAAATTTTTATTTTATTATAAATATTGTATCAATAGATCAAATTTAGCATATTTTATATGATATRATATAAATTTTTTTCACCAATTAATCCATTAAAACTTTATATATATATATATATATAATATGCAAAATAGATAATTATGATAATAATATTAATATATTAATTAATAATGTATTGTTTATTGTTTTAATGTGTAATTTTTTTAATTAATAAATAAATAAATTTATTTATTTTTATTTATTTTTTTATTACAAGTCTATTAGATAATAGGCAATATTTATATATATATATATTGTTTGTTAGTTTAGTATCTACACTGATATTTATGTATAATAAAATGCTAAAAACAATAACAACAAAAATAATAAATAATAAATACTAAAATTTTAACTCAAAATTTATAGTTATATATAAAATTTATAATATAAACTGTATATAAATATAATTTTATTAGTATTTATATTTACCGGTACATAGTTTTCATAAATATTACAAAATATGCAGTTATATACATAAATAATATAATACTGTATATACACTGTAWATATATACTGTACTGTACTGTAGTTTTTTTTTTGGTTATAAATATATAAATTTTTATATAAAACAAAATTCAAATAAAATATTATATACTTTTTATATTTTTTTTGTTTCAAATAATAGTGTAATAAAAAGTGCATTTAGTTTAGTCAATATTTTTATGATTATGATTATTATTATTATTAGTAGTATATGTTTATATAACTATAAAATTTCTATTATTGAGTCTAAAAAAATCTTTAAAAAAATAATTTTTTTTAAATATTTAAAATGTATTGAATAGTATAGTATATACTAAATTAATGTATTTTTTTCTATAAAAAAATATGTCTAAAATATTAACATTAAATGTTAATACAGTAATAATAATGTTTTATTATATATAATGTAGTTTTTTTGGTTATATTATTTTTTTACAACTAATATATATATATATATTATTTCTAATAAATGTTTTAGTACTTTATATATATATATATAATTTTTTGTTTAAACATTTTTTTTGACTCAAACAATAAAATAATAGTACAAATACATACATATTTAAAAAATTATTTAATTTTACAATTATAATAATTATAAAAACATAATAAATTTTAATTAATTTTTGTGTTTTGTTATTTGCAAAAAAAAATCTACAGTTCCTCCCGACACTCACTACATGTCGATCCCATTGATGAATGTGATCAACAAATCAAAGAGTTTGTCGACGTTGTTACATCAATAAATGAGCAAGGTAACTAAATTAATTGATTTTAATAATAATAATTATTATATTTCAAATTAATCTAATTATTATATTTCAAATTAATCTAATTATTATTTAATTAATCTAAAGATATATACTGTATATATATATATATTATATAATATGTTATAAAATAATGTCTTCAATATACTGTATATATTAGAAATTATTTTCAATTTTCTATTTTTAAAATATTTTTTTTGTGGCAAATATCCAACAAAAAATATACTGTATATATATATTGTATATATATAAGTTATCTATTTGTATATACAGTATATACTGTATAAACTAAAGTATGCATTAATTACATTGAAATATATGAATAATTTATTTTATATATACCGTACTGTATATACTGTACTATAATATAAAAATAGATTATATTAATAAAAAAAAATCCGTTTTCCGCACAAAAAAATCTATTTTTATAACTTTTATAACACTCATCATCTAATATACACAGTATATGTATGTATATATAGTGATGATATACATAGTGTTTATATTGTACTTAACATACCACATACACATAGTTACACACACACACACACACACACACACACACACACWACCATAGGCGACATGTTTGCCATGTATTATACAATTAAATACCAACCAATAATCCAAACAAACAAAAAATCAAAAATATATATATGTAATATTTAAATTAATTGTAAACTAAAATCAGTGAAAAATAGATAATTTTAGTTTTTTATATGTTTTTTTTGTGTAATTTTTTTTGTTGGTTTAATTAACGTGTTTTCTATTAGCAAAAAAATTGTTTGCAATAATTTATAATATAGTAATAATACAGTAATATAATAATTACAATAATTATTATAATAATAATAATTATATTTCAAATTATTTCAAACAAGTATATCATAAGATATATTATATATATTTTTTAAAAATTCATATCAATGTCCCAACAATTAACTGTTAATAATAATAATAATAATAATACTGATAATCATTATCATTATTATATGAGATCATCATTGAACCGATTCTGCGATGACATACTGGAGCTAATACTTGAATATCTGCCCATAGTTGACAAACTAAGATACCGGTGCCTTAGCAGGCAATGGCGCCGATGTTTGTATACCAGACAAACCCAATTGATTATCAACGGCACCGGTAGTAGTAGTAGTAGTAGTAGTAGTTATGATACCATTAGTAGTGGTGCTGTACAACAATCATCTAACAATTCACTAAATCAATTGGTAATTAAAACCCATAGTACTGGTGGTGGTGGTGGTGATGATGACCAGTTCAACAGCAGCAGCAGCAGCACCGATAGCTATCGGATAACTGTGCTCAACAAACAGGCACTTGAATCAGTTTTAGTCTACTGTCCACGCATTAAACGCCTGTGTATTACTGGCTGCGAGTGTGACCGGGAAGTACTCGACATAATTGGAGCTAACTGTCCACTACTCGATGATCTGGAGTGTGAATTGCTAACTGGTTTAGTGGACAACAACGGTGCCGATAGTCTACTCGAGTTTGGTCGCCGATGTGGCCAACGATTACGGCGATTACGGTTTGTCTACTTTACTGTCCACAGGAAAGTTATGCAACAGTTTCTCCGATTGTGTCCAAACCTTCGGTCAGTTAACTGCGATATCCTATCGACTATTGTTGCCGACGATGACGACAGCGGCGGCGGCGGCGGTCCGTCCCTATCATCACCCGATTATTTGTTGGCCCGACTTACTAGACTACGGTTGCGTCTCAGGGCTACCGATGCCCACTGTCTGGAACTGTTAGCCAATAGATATTCCTCACAATCGGACGGCCGATGTCTAAAACAGTTAGTACTGTACGGTGACAGTCGATGTTTGCCCGAAGGGCTCCTGTATGTGGCCCGTATTGGGTCGCTAACCCATCTGACCATGGATATCAGTGCCAATACTACTATCAGTGCCGATCAATTAGTACCCGGTATGCAAGCCCTGGCCGATAATCTACTGGAGCTCCGGTATCTGGTGGTTAACTCCTGGGTGTTTATCAGTGATGAACTATTTCAGGCAATGTCAGCCATTGGTGGCGGTGGTGGTAGTGGTGGTGGACAGTTAGCAGTGCTGAAAATCAATCAGCATCTGATGCATATCAAACAAAATACTGGTATATCGTGTGCACAGTTAGCCAACCATACACTGTTAACCTCATTGACGCTCCGGGGTGTCAATATTGATCCCGAATTTTTTGCTGATATAGCCCTATATCTACCACAGCTTAGGGAACTGGAGTTTACATTAATTTATGACAATACTACTACTACTACTAGTAGTAGTAGTAGTAGTTATAGTCAACTGTTTGGATGGTTAGCCGAATTACATCAACTGAGATCACTGTCCATTACGGTCAGCGTAAATAAGGCTAAACGTATGACTACTACCGGTGCACCCATACATCAGTTGTTTACCAGTGACTTGGCTCGACATACCAGTGCTGGTCTGTGCAAAATGTTGACGACAACTATCGGCTGTCCACTGTTGACACAAGTAGTATTGAAAAATATATTTCTAGTTTTACCGAAAACTACTGTCGAAACAGTAGACAGTAGTGATTGGCTGTCCATCTATCGGGCACTGGTAGCCAATGCTAGACACGTTAGTCATCGTAAATGGCAATACCTACTAGATATTAGCTTGGATAATTGTTCAATGTTTAATAATAATAATAATAATAATATTGTTAAAAATTTTAATATTGATGATAATGATGATGATAAATTGTTGCCTGATAATTTTACGCTAATTATTTAAATATAATTATTTATTTATTTATTTATGTTTCTCTAATATGAAAATAAAATATACGATATTAAATTGCTGGAAAAATAACTAAATTATTTGTGATCTTGGTAATTTTTTTGGTAACAATATTAATGTATATTTTTATTGATTGCTTGATTGATATTAATATAAAATTTATATTTACAACAACAACAAGTAAAAWATATATATAATTTTTTTTTTATTATTTTTGAAATTTATTTTATATATATATATATATATATCAATATTTTTATGCCATATTTATTATGAACAAAAATTTGAGATTTATTTTTATTTATTTTTTTAATCTATAATATGGTTTTTAGATAGTATTTTGGATTTTTTTTTTGGTTATATATAACAGATAATATACAACAACAACAACAACACAACAAAAAATTTAAATTTACAAAACTATTTGATTTTATATATATATATATATATATATATATATATATATATATATATATACACTACTATTTACTAATACCTATAAGTATTTTTCCAATATATTCAATGAGTAGTGAACCTTAAAAATAAGATTTATATATATACTGTATTTATATATATATATATATATATATATATATATATATATATCCATCAGTTATTTTTTGTAGTTTGAAAAAAAACCTTTTAAACTACTATTGAAAATAAAAATAATATACAAATAAAAAAAAATATACTGAAAATTTTCAGTTTTATACAAAATAAAAACCTAGTTTTTTACTAACTTTTTTTTTGTATAATATATTTGTCGACTACTTAAATATAGTAAGTGAGTGATAAAGATATATATTTGTGTATTTGTGTTAAATAATTGTAAATATATTTCAGTTTATTTATTTGAAAAAATTATTTATCAAAAAAAAATATTAATATATAAATATATTGAATATCTAATATACATATAATATATTTATTTAAAAATACAAATTAGTTTTAAATATTATTATTATTTATTGTTTATTACTTATAATATATATATATTAGTAGTAGTAGTAGTATTTATAAAATTATTTTTAATAAATATTAATTATTTAATCTATTTTTTTGAAAAATTATTTATCAAAAAAATATTAATATATAAATATATTGAATATCTAATATAAATATAATCTTTTTTTAAAAATACAAATTAGTTTTAATATTATTATTATTTATTATTTATAACTTATAATATATATATATATATATATATATATTAATAGTAGTATTTATCAAAATTATTTTTAAATAAATATTATTTTTTTTTTATAACAGGTTTGACAAACTCTGACCTAACATGTAATGGACATCAATTGAATGCATTGAAACAATTGACAGTTAACTGTAATACTACTACTAATAATAATAATACCAAAAACAATAGCAACCAATCATTGAATAATACGTTTACCAAAATTGCCAATAATTATACACAATATACTAATATAAATAGTATCAAGGTTAGTTTGGAACAAACAAATAAAAAAAATAAAGTTAAAAATTTTTAATTAACTAATTAATTAACTTTTTTGATTTTATTTTGAAAAATTTAATTTCTTTTTCTTCTAATTAAAACTCATTAGAAAATGATAATTATTTTATTTTATTTATATATATATWTATTTTATAAAAATACTATATATATATAGCGAGTATTTAGTAGTTTCTTAAACATTAAGCCAAAAAATTAATTAAACTTTTAATTAGTTATTTTTTTACAGTAAATTTTTCAAAGTAAATGAAATAAATTTTATATATAAACTGTATATATATATATATAAATAAAATAGATTTTACTTTAAAAAATATAAGTCATTGTTTTACTTAAAAATTTTTTGTATAAAAAATCTCCAACTATTTGTTTGTATATAAATTTTATATATATATATATATACTTTATATATATATATGTAGAGTATATTTATTGAGATCTACTAAATATAAATGTGTTTGTAATTCAAGAATATTCTGTTTATTTATTCATTGAAAAAAATAGATTTCAATTTTTAGTTTAGTTTTGTAGTATTTTTGCTCTCAATTCAAGTGAATTCAAAAAACTATTTATAAATTTATTTGTTGACAAAATATATCACATAAAATACAATTTACTCTCTCTCTCTCTCTCTCTCTCTCTCTCTCTCTCTCTCTCTCTCTCTCTCTCTCTCTCTTATATTTATATATATATATAAAATGTGAATTCAATCAAAAATCTAAATTCAAATACTTTTACTTTAATGAAAATATTCTGAWTTATCATTTCAAAGAAATATACTGTATATATATATAATACAAATAAATAAATATTAATATATATAATAACTTATTTGGAAATTGATTTTTTGTTAGTTGTTATTTAGATTTTAAGTTTTTTTTCGTCTATTAGCAAATGTGTGTTTACTATTGTATTATATTAATAATAATACATTTTATTTAGCTTTTAAAAGCTAAACTTTAATAAAATGATTAATTTAGAAAATTTTATTAGAAAAAAATTGTTAATATTAAATAAATGAAATTTATTAATATTGCATAAAATTTAATATATATATATATATACWATATATACTAATACAATATTGTATATCACATACAGCAATATATAAGTTAGATAAATATTATATGAAAATAATATTATTTTGCAAATAATTTTATTTTATATATATATTTATATTATAACATACAGTGTATATACATAGTATTTGCAAATGATTTCAATGATTGCATATACACTTAAATAAATAGTTTTATAGTATATATATATATTTATTTATATATACTATGTATATACAGTGTACAGTATTATAATAAATATATAAATATCATACAGTTTTATGTTTCCCCAATGTATTTCTCATAACCAATAATATTATATTATATATGATATATAAAATATTAATAATAATAATAATAATAATAATAATAATAATAATAACAATAATATAAAAATCATCAGAAATGACAATCAGAGCGGAAATAATCTTTAAGAGAGAGAGAGAGAGAGAGAGAGAGTGACCTCTCTCATTCTCTTTCTCTCTCAATATTTCTTACATTAAATTGAATTCAATTTAATTTTTTATTTTGTCGTTTATATGATATTATTGTTGTCGTTGTTATACATATTGCTGTCGATAGTAAAGCTAAACTTGAATTAAATATTTATTATATATTTAAATATACTGTATATCCTATATATATATATAATTACCGACAAATAAAACAAAAATGATTAAAAAAACAATAAATAAATATATAATTAAATTATTAAATAAAATTAATTTTTTACAATTTATATTAAAATAAAACGTTGACAATATATATAGCTAATTTGTATGTAATCTAAAATTACAAAAATATATATATATTATATATGTACAGTATATACTGTATATAATATTAAAAAAATAATTATTAGATATTCAGTACTTTAATTTGATTTTTGATTATTAATTATAAAAATAATTATTTATTTTTAAACATTTAGATTTAGATATTTAATTAATTTATAATATAAATAATAAATAATTAATTAATTTATAAAAAAATTATTTATTATAATATATTTATTTATTTTTTTCATATAAAAATAATAATAATAATTATATTGAAATACAGTCGCCTAACGAAGTGACCTACGCTGAGCTCAGCCTATCGCCAATGGGAACGCCAACGGCTACTACCTATAGTCCAAGCGGTTCGGTAGTGACCAATACAATCAAACGATGCTCAGTCGGACCCATTGAACCCATACTACTGGCCAACAACAACAGTAGTAGTAGTAGTACTACTACTAACACACAGTACGCACAGTTAGATTTTCAACGACAGCTTAACAGCAACAACGGTATTGTTGGCCATACGGTACTGACCAACGGCTGCGGCATCAATGACTTATCGCCAAACGTTTACAATGGTTTGACTGGAGTAGGCCTTAATCATCACTACCAACAACAACAACAGGTCAGTCCTGTATTGTCCACCGGATCGTCAGCCGCTTCAGGCACCGCTTCCGCCAACAGTCCGGCCACTACTACGTTGTTGATGGGGTCGGCGGCAGCGGCACACTATGGCCACCATCAACAACAACACCATCATTATCAACAGCAGCACCGGGAGTCGCCACTAGCCGATGGTTTTAATGGCTGCGGCGGCGGCGGCGATACTGATGCTGCCGTAGAGACCGTACCATTGATGGACACCTCAACTCAGTATAGGCCGCACGAGATTAGGGTCAGTGACAGTTTAAATACATATAAAAATTAAATTTAAGTTTTTTATATATATATATTAGACAATATTTAGTAATGTATTTATCTATTATCTACAGTATTATTAATATTGATTTTGATAAATAAATAGTAGATTTAATATCAATATATATATATATATATATATATATTAATATATTTATAGTACTGTTATATATTAGACATATATATATATATAATATATATATATATATATACATAAGCACACTCACACACACACATACATACCATACATACACTGTGATTGCTATTAAATAGTGCGATAGTCAGCGTAAACTTAAAAAACTCAACCAAACAAAAAAACAAAACAAAATTATAATACAATAAAATCCAAATAACAATAAAAAAACTATATATATATATTCACTAAACAATACAATTTTAGTGACCACTTGTCTAAACAATTTGTTTGGCAATTGTTTCTCTCTCTCTCTCTCTCTCTGTCTGGACTCGCTATGTATGTGTTATATACATCCATCTATCTATCTATTAGCTCATCCATCCATCCATCCCAGTGCTATGTATGTGTGTGTGTGTACTATATGTTAGGTATTTAATAAACTACCAGAGCGTACAAACTGCTGACTGATTATTATCTACCAGTGTTCCCACTATGTGTGTGTGTGTGTGTGTGTGATAATGTAGTTTTTTTAAATGTGTATTACTGGACTATACTGTATAATATTGTTTTATTTTATTTCGTAGTGATAAGCACTGTTAGAATTATATTATAAGCCCTGAGCCCAAACACACACACACTCACACACACACATAAATACATACATACATACATACAGATAGACAGTTATATATATAGAGAGAGAGAGAGAGAGAGAGAGAGAGAGAGAGAGAGAGAGAGAGAGAGAGATGTTTAAAATCCAATAAATATTACATTTTTTTATTTTTACAAAAAAATGTGTTTTGAATTTAATATTAGTTTTTATTGAATGAATCTCTTTATTTTATTTTATATTTTTTTCAAACGCTAAGCAATATTTTTTTTTTGGTATTTAAAACCAATTTTTTTTATAAAATATATTAATACCTAAAATAGTTTAGTAGTTTTATTTTTTGTGCTGATTGAGTGTTAAATTATTATATATATTATAACTTATATATAAAAAAAAAGTAAAAAATAAAATAATAATAAATACATTTTCAACTAAACTATTTATTATAATTTTTTCTACTGAAATAAAATATATATAAAAATTTTACATTATTTTTACTAATAAATATTGTCTAATTTTTTTTTTAATTATTATTAATTATTTTTATTTATTTATTTTTGTTTTAGATATCCAAAGATAGTCAACATAGGATTAGTCGTAATGGGGCGACACCTGTATAATACTTATTAAAAAAAACTTTTCAAAATTATTACAATAATTTTTTTTGTGGTCATAAACTATATATTTGCTTAATATAAATAATTATTAAAAAAATTGTAAATATTTAATATATATATATATGTAAATAAAAAAACAATTATCAAAAAAAAGTAATAATTATTTTACACATAAAAAATTAAAATAAATAAATAACTGATTAATAATTATAAACAAATTATAATTAGTTTTTAATTTTTTTTCCCAATAATATTACTTAATATATATTACATAAAATTATATTTTACTTAATAAACAAAAAATTATTTTGTTTTTTATTATTATTGATAATTAAATAATATTATTATATAATTTACAAAATTATGATAATAACTTTATAATTGTAAATATTTAAAAAAAATATTAATTAATATATAATAATATATATATATAAACTTAACTTTAAATGAAATTTTTTAAAAAAATATTAATAAAATGAAAATACTCTGTGATATATTTTTTAAATAATAATAATAATAATTACTGAAAAAAAACATTTTATTATATAAATAACATTTAAATTATTAGTAAAAATAATATTATAATTATCAAATATGTAATTAAATTATGTAATTAAATAAAGAAAATTGATAAAAAATTATTTTTCAAAAAAAAACTTTATTTATTATATGCTGCTATCAATAATGTATATTATTTATAATAAAATATTTAAAAAATACATTATTTTATTATTTTTCAATAATAAAATTATTGAAAAATACTATTAAAGTTTAAATAAAATTTTGTTTAATAAAAAATTTAGACAATTAAGCATTAAATATAAAATAAATTTTTAACAATTGTTATAATTATTATTTGTTTGTTTGTCTTTATTTTTTGCTAATAATTATTTAATATTAATTATCACACAAAATAAATTAAATCTAATAATTTTATTATATAACTAAAAACAAAATATTGAAATATATTTATGTATATAAATAATATTAAAAATAAATATATATATATATTATATAAAATACTGTACTATAGTAATTACTATTGAAATATATTGTTTTTTTTTAAATTATTAAAGTATTAATATTTTTGTTGTTGTTGTTGATAATAACCATATAAATTAAATTAACCCCCACCCCCTTAAAAAATAATATTAATTAATTAATTAATGTTTGGGCGGTGCGGCAAACGCATTGGCGGCCACAATACCGCCATCGACACACATATGTGTACCGGTAACAAACTGGGCATGGTCACTGGCCACAAACAGTACGGCATCGGCCACTTCCTCGGGCCGGCCAGGTCGACCAACTGGCAATACTTGGCCAACGTGTTCAAAAATAGCATCCGATTGATCGGTTCCCTGGGCAGCACCGGCAGCTATCATTATGCCAGTCGACTTGACAGGTCCCGGGCTAATTAGGTTAGTTAGTTAGTTAGTTAATAATTAATTAATTAATTATTTTTTTATATAAATATAGTAATACCTGATAACATTAACCCTGATATTTTTGGGACCTAACTCAGCTGCACAACAATAGGTAAACATATCCATAGCTGACTTAGACATACAATAGGCTGATACACCAGCAACCTATGTATAGGGCATATAACAAATAATACTAATAATAATAATAATTAAATTGATTTAGAAATTTATTACTATTTATTATTCGTAATAATAAATACTTAATAAAAATATTTATTTATTTTAATTTTTTGTTGAAAAATTATATATATATATAAAAAAACTCTAACGGCTCTAACACATGTTAATATATAGTAACATAAATAATATTAATAATAATAACAACTAATTGATTGATAAAAAAAATTTAATATTATAAAAATAACTAATTAATTATATTAATAAAAAACTTACTGCTTTACACACACACACACACATATATATAGTAATAATAATAATAATAATAACAACTAATTGATTGATAATTTTTTTTTTAAATATTACATAATTGTTAATTGTTAATAATTACTAATGTATAATAATAACTAATTAATTAGTTATAATTAAAAACTTACGGCTCTAACACATATTAATATATAGTAACCCTAATAATAATAATAATAATAGCAACTAATTGATAAAAAAATTTAATATTATAATAATAATTAATTAATTAATTATAATTAAAAACTTACGGCTCTAACACCGGCACCGCTTGAAATGTTAACAATATTTCCCCCAGTTTTAGACAAATGATCGACCGATAGATATGTTAAGTAAACAGTTGTATTCAAATTCAATTGCATTAGTGATTCAAACTTGTCATAATAATCACCATCACTGAGCGCACCGGTAGTACCGATACCGGCATTGTTGACCAATATATCCAATCGACCAAATTGTCCGATAGTTGTCTCAACCAGACGTTTGCATTGAGTTTTTTCGGTTATATCTCCGACCACTTCCAGTGCTTTGAATTGTTTCGGCGAAACATTTTGACACTGTTTGGCCACTTCGGCTAATTTATCCGCACGTCTACCAGTGACTACAACATTGGCACCCGATTGGGCAAACTGGACGGCAATGGCCGCACCGATACCCGAACTCGAACCGGTTATCAGTACTACTTTCATATCATCATAAAAATCATATTTAACAGACATTTTTTTTCGGTAAATTTTTATTATTTTTTATCGACAATAATAATAATAATAGTTTCAAAATTAGTAAAATTTGTTTATTTTATTGAATATTAAGTTTTAATAAATTTTTTTTGGTTAACTTATTATATGAATACTTATGTTAAAAATCTAACTGTCCTTTATATATACTGTATATATAAATTATATATATATATATATATATATAAATATTATTGTACTTTTAGACAACTATATTGTTGAACCCAATAAACTAATTGTAAACTATTCAAGGTTAGATTTATGTTGTATTAGTAGTAGTAATGTATTATTATTATATAATATAGTTTATTATAATTATATTATTTCCTATTAATATTATCAAGTAGTTTATTATTATGATTAAATACATGTATATATATATATATATATATATATATATATCAAGATAACTATTTTAACTATTTACCTTGATAAGTTTATTTCTAGTTTTATAGCACTAGAATTAAAGTATTGAAAAAAATATTATCTAGTATATTTTAGCATGCTTTTATTTATATATTTTTAACTATATATATATATATTTTAAATATTAACTATTATTAACTATATAATATAGACAACTGTATATCAATGAAAATCAATTATCAAATCAAATATTGATTAATATTGTAAATCACTTTTATTTTTATTTGAAATTTACTTGACATTTGATAAAAGTTTATTTTTTTTAGACTTATTTAATCCAAAAAAAATTTTTTTTATTAATCAACAAGTATTGTGCAAAATTAAAGTAAAAATTTTTTTAAAAAATTATTTAATTTCAGCTACCATATTTTTTTTAAAATAATATTTATAAATCAACTATTTACTTTTAGTAGAATTTATTTGTTTTATGTTTATTTAATTATTTTTTTTAAGAAAAAAAGTTTAATTATTATTATTTTCTTTTTATTATTATTTTGTTGTTTATAATAGTATACTTAAGTAGTTTTTTTTAAATAAATACAGTATATATATATATATATATGTATTATATTTACATTTTATATTATTAATAACTTACCATTATTTTAGTAATTTTTAATGCACTTAACAAAATAATTATAATAATTGTTGTACTAATAGTAAACTATTCAAGGTTAGTTATGATTACTATGCTAACTCTCTCTCTCTCTCTCTCTCTCTCTCTCTCTCTCTCTCTCTCTCTCTTTAATTTTACATTTTACTGTATTTATCTAACATAGAGTTTACAGTATATATTATATTCATATATTCATATAAATTTATATATAGTATCGTATATACTATATAGTTTATAACTAAAATTTTGATTAAAACTTATATAAATGTTTTACAACAACAACAACAACAAAACAGCCAAATAGTTATTCAAAATAATTATTTATAAGTTTTAATAGTTGGAAATCATAGACACTATTTATATTATAAAATTTATTTTAACCAACACTACAAAAATGATATCATATATCAATCAATCAATAAATATCAATATCAACTAAATTCATACTTAATAATAGCAATGATTATAAATAATAATAATTATTATTTAGTTGTTATTGATTAAGTTAAGTAATAGTTTATTTTTTAGTAAATTTCTAGTTTTATAGTACTAGTTAGTTATAAACTTTATTATTATTATATTATTTAATAAATTACCAGTATGATATAACAAATAATAATAATTAAATATAATAATGATAATAATAAAAAAAATAATAATAATATTTTAGTTTTTTTAGTTTAAGTAATTTATTTATTTTATTTTATTGGAAAAATCAAAACATATATTGTTATATAATTTGCATATTTTAGTAATAATTAAATATTAAATAATATATATATATATATAGAAATTAATCCATTTATATATTAATATATATATATATAAAGTATATATTTTATAACTCTTTTAATAAATTAGGCGAAAATCCATTGGCGGCTACAATACCGCCATCGATGATCAATTGGGCACCGGTAACAAACTTTGACTGATCGCTGGCCAGATAGATGATAGCATCGGCAACTTCTACGGCCAGACCGGCCCTACCCAAGGGTACCAATTGTTCAAACGATGCAATCACTGCATCCGATTCGGCACTAGTCCTGCCCATGGCTGTCATAAATTCAGTCCTAATAGGACCCGGACTATATTAAAAATTAAAATTATTATTATTATTATTATTATTTAATAATTAATATTTTTATTTTTGTATTTTTTAATTACTTAATTACGTTAACCCTGATATGTTTGGGACCCAACTCAGCGGCACAACATTTCGTAAACATATCCATAGCTGTCTTAGCCAAACAATAGGGAGCAAAGTTTGGTAGCTATTTATTTAATTAATTATTTAAAAAAAAACAATTAAATTAATTATGAATTATATTAAATTAAAATATGTATTTTTTTAATTATAATTAATTATTAATAAATTAAGTAAAATGTTTTGAAATAATAAGTATATATATATATATATATATATATATATATATATATATATATATATATATATATATATATATATATATATGATTTGTATAACAATAATAATAAATGAATAAATATTAATATTAATAAAAATTAATAATAATAAATAATAATAAATAATAATTATTAATAATAATAAATAATAATTTTAAAAATTAATTTTATTAGTAAATAAATAAATATAATATAACTTACGGCTCGAAGTCCGGCAACACTTGATATGTTAACAATGTTTCCCCGAGTTTTGGCCAAATGATCGACCGATAGATGTGTCAGTAATACCATTGAATTCAAATTAATTTGCATTGCTTTTTGAAATGCTGTATAAAAATCTGGTGAACCAATCGGTGCAGTTATACCGGCGCCGGCATTGTTGACCAATATATCCAGTCGACCAAAATGTCTGATAGTTGTCGCCAACAAACGTTTGACATCCGCTTCTTGTGTTATATCGCCGACCACTTCCAATGCCGACAAATGTTTCGGTGAAACACTCGTACATTGTTTGGCCACTTCGGCAACTCTGTCCGATCGTCTACCAGTGACTACAACCATGGCACCCGATTTGGCAAACTGTACGGCAGTGGCCGCACCGATACCCGAACTCGAACCGGTTATCAATACTACTTTATCGGTAAAATCATATTTAAGAGACATTTTATTTATTTTTTATTTATTTTAGTTTAGTTTATTAAACAATTATAATATAGTATATAAAAAATATTATTAAAGTTTTTATTAAAATTTTATTTTAATAATAGAGATTTTTTATGTAACTAATAAAATTTATGTTTAATATTTATATATATATATATACTATATATACATAAACTAATTGTGTACTTATCAAGGTTATATAAGTAAATATATAAAATTATATACTGTATAAAGTATTAGTATTTGCAATACATTTTTTACTACCTGTTTTAGCTATTAGTTTATTTATTTATTTTTTAAATAAAATATAATCATAAATATAATTCATACTATTGTGTAGTGATATCAAGCACTTAATTAATAAGACCTTGGTTACAAAAAAAAAGTTTGATTTAAGTTTGAAAGCACTGGAAATGATATTTAGTTTGAAATATATATATACTTATAGTATATACTGTATATAATGATATCCCGATTGCAAATAAAATTGCATAAAATTGACAAACAATTGCGAAAAAACATTTTTAAAAATATATATTTTTAATCTATAGTTTAATCTACAGCTATTGAATAATATACTAGAATTATCTATAATAAAGTTTATTTAGATTAATAGGTAATAATTATCACTAATTTTACAGTTTTCAATTTTAGGTAATTATTTTTTATATTAATACATAGTCTAAATAATTTACATATAAATATCAATAATAGTAATTTATTAATTTCTTTATTTATTTTTTAGAAAAAAATAATAATTATCATTAATTTTTTTTGTATACAACATATGATTTTAATACTAAATAAATTTTATTAATAAAAGTATATATAATTATAAAAAAATCAAAAAAAATGTAAATTTAGTAATTAATTCTAATAGTAATAAGTTTTAATATTTTTAAAAAACAAATTTATAATAATAATTATTTATTCCAAATAAAAATTTTTTAACAAAAAAAAAATACTAAATATGTTTTCAAAAAATAAAGTCATTGTTTTTGTTTTTTTATTTAAATAGATTTAGCAAAATCATTGGACATAGTATTGGAGGCAACTGTGCCGCCATCGATAGTCAATTGGGAACCGGTAATAAATTTTGAATGATCACTTGACAGATATAGTATAGCATCGCCAACTTCATCGGGTAGTCCAGCCCTACCAACCGGTATTCGGGAACCAAAATCATCAAACATACTGTCCGATTGATCACTGGGCAAACCCATAGCCGTAATGAATTCAGTTTTAATAGGTCCTGGACTATATTTTTTTGGGTGGGGGGGGGAGCGGGGAGGGGGTTAAAATATAATGATTATTTATTCAATTAAATTAATTAATTAATTAAAGTGCTAATTACTTGATAACATTAACCCGGATATGTTTCGGACCCAATTCCGCGGCACAACATTTGGTAAACATATCTATTGAACATTTAGCCATACAATAGGGCGAAAAGTTTGCAAACTATTTAAATAAATAAATAATTAAATTAATTAATTAATATTTAAAAAATAAATTAAAAAAATAATAATATTGAGTGTAAAATATATGAAATATATGAAATATATGATAAAAATAATATATATATATCTATCAATATATAGAAGTATATAATACTATTGAACACAATTAGCCATACAATTAGTTAGTAAACTATTTTAATTGAATCAACAAACAAACAAAACAAAAATAAACTAAAAATAATAAATATTTTTGAATAAAAATAAAAGTTTAATAATAACTTTATTATCAGTTAATTAATTATTAATATATAATAGTAATAATTATTAATATTAGTTATTATTAGTTAAATCAAGAATAAAAATAATTATAAAAATATTTTAAGAAATAGAAAATAATAATTCTGACAATAAAATTATAATTAATTATAAATTTTATTATCAGTTAATTAATTAATTAATTAATTAATTAATTAATAACTTACGGCTCGAAGTCCGGCAATACTTGAAATGTTAACAATATTTCCCCGAGTTTTGGCCAAATGATCGACACATAGATGTGTCAGTAATACAATTGAATTCAAATTAATTTGCATTACTTTCTGAAATGATTCATAAAATCCCGGATCACTGAGCGGTGCATTCAAACCGGCGCCGGCATTGTTGACCAATATATCCAATCGTCCAAATTGTCKGATAGTTGTCTCAACCAAACGCTTGAGATCGGCTTCTTTGGTCACATCAGCGACCACTTCCAGTGCCTTGAATTGTTTCGGCGAAACATTTTGACACTGTTTGGCCACTTCGGCTAATTTATCCGCTCGTCTACCAGTGACTACAACATTGGCACCCGATCGGGCAAATTGGACAGCAGTGACAGCACCGATACCCGAACTCGAACCGGTTATCAGAACTACTTTACCACTGAAATCGTATTTAAGTGACATTTTTATTAGTAAAAAACAATTTTGTTTTTTTTTTGGTATTATGTGGCTATATATTGAAACAACTAATATATAACAAAAGATGTTTTTATTTTTAACAATTATAATCTACAGTAGTTTTTAATTTTTTCAAATGTCAACTATAATAATTAAAAAAACCAACTGTTCATTATATACATGTGTGTACAGTATATATATATATATACCCCACAAAACTAGTTGATTGATATGCACTTTTCAAGGCTTTATTAATACCCTTATATAATATAATGTTTAGTAATATATACATAATAGTAGTATATATTAATTTTATAGYATATATTTTAATTTATAATTATAGTTTTAAGTACTTATTTTTTGTTTTTTATTTTTTCATTTGTGTTGTGTTGTCATTGAAATATATAATTTATATTTATTTAATTTATATATATATATTACTACTATTACTACTAGTATTAATATACTGTATAGTTTTTTTTGCACCTAAAATAAGATATTTTTTTATCTAATATTTATCTAAACATAGAAAAAATTAATTAAATGACATTTAAAAAAAACTAAATAAATTATTAAATAATTATTTTTTGTTGTTGTTGTAAACAATTTTCTATAAGTTTTTGATGTTTTAACTAATGTTTAATTTGYGAATAAATTATTAATTGTAAATAAATCTATATATATAAGAAAATATGAATATATATATACAGTTTTTATTTAAATTTTACATTAATTTTTCTTTATCAATAAATACTAATATAATAGTATGAATTTAAAAAATTTAAAATAATTTTTATAAAATAAAATAAACTGTAAGATAATTTTTTTAAAATAAATATATAATAATTTTTATTTAATAAGTATTTTTATTAAAATTCAATGTTAATGTCTTATTGATATAATTGATAATATTAACCCCTAATATGATAATATATTTTTTGTTAACCTAATTAAACATTTTTTTTTTATTAAATATATCTATTGTACACTTAGCCATATAATAAATTGGATTATTAGTAAAATATTTTTATTTTTTGTGAAAATAATTATAATAATAATAAATATTTATTTTCTCATATATTTTTTAATAGTAATAAATAATGATTTTAGTTAAATCTGTTAACCTGTTTATCAACCACTACTTTACCTGTAAAATCATATTTGATAGACATTTACTAAAAATAAATAAATAAATATTTTTTTTAGTTAATATACTAATTTATAATTAAATATTATTTTTTTAAGAAACAAAAAAAATACTATAAATTAATTATTAAAAATAATTATTTTGAGTTAAATTTTTTTATGTGAGCTAGTTGATTTAATATTTGATTAGTATAATTTATTTATATAAAATCTATAACAACTATATATAGATACTTATAGTATGTAATAAATAATAAATATATATATATAATACTAAACCAAATGTGTAATTATCAAGGTTAGACAAAAAAAATTTTTATTATAAAAATAATAGTTAATTTTATCAATTATTTTTATTTTTATTTATATTATTATTATTATTATTATTATTAGATTTAGTTAAATTATACAGAATTTTGTTTACATAATTATAAAAAAAAAATTAAAAAATAAAATAATTAATAACAATTTTTTAACTCCTTGAATGCGATTATTAATTATTGATAGTTATTAATAGATTTAAATTAATTTCTATACAAAATTATATTATAATATATTATATTATTTTATATTAAAAAATCTATAACTCCTTGAATGCATCACACATTAGATAGTCGTTGACAGTTAGGCCGCCGCCATCGACACATAGTTGGGCACCGGTAATAAATCGGGCATGGTCACTGGCCAAATACATCACTGTATCGGCTATTTCATGGGGTTGTCCGGGTCGACCAACTGGTAAATGGCTACCCATATTGTCAAACATGGCATCATTTTGTTCAATAGTCATACCCAGTGTTGTAAATGCAGCTGTTTTTACTGGTCCCAGACTAATACCGGCCATTCATATATAAATAATAATTTTTTATTTTAAACACACTAAACATATACTGAATAATTATATTCAATTTAATTCAATATCCAATACCTGATAACATTAACCCTAATATGATTTTTGGGACCCAATTCCGATGCACAACAATAGGTAAACATATCCATAGCTGACTTAGACATACAATAGGCTGACATACCTGAAACCTATATATATATATATATATATATTAATATAGTAGTAGTAGTAGTAGTAGTAGTAGTAGTAGTAGTAGTAGTAGTATTAGTAGTAGTAATAATAATAATAATAATAATAATAATAAATCAATTAATTGAATATTATGTAGTTTAGTTTTATTTGTTTTTTAATGATAATCTATAGTACCAGTAGTTTGAAAACTACATGTGTGTGTGTGTGAAATATTTTTTTTTATATAAAAATGATTTAGTTATTAATTATAGTAATTTATTATATATATATATATATTTGTTTTATTTTTTACAACTAATTAATTTAATTTAATTTAATTATAAATACTTACGGGTCTAATACCGGCACCGCTTGATATGTTAACAATGTTTCCCCCAGTTTTAGATAAATAATCGACCGATAGATATGTTAAGTAAACAGTTGTATTCAAATTCAATTGCATAACTGCTTCAAACTTGTCATAATAATCACCATCACTAAGCGCACCGGGAGTACCGATAGCGGCATTGTTGACCAATACGTCCAATCGACCAAAATGTCCGATAGTTGTCTCAACCAGTCGTTTGCAATCAGGTTTCTGTGATATATCTCCGACCACTTCCAATGGCTTGAATTGTTTTGGCGAAACATTTTGGCACTGTTTGGCCACTTCGGACACCAGTACGGCTCGTCTACCAGTGACTACAACCATGGCACCCGATCGGGCAAATTGGACGGCAGTGGCCGCACCGATACCCGAACTCGAACCGGTTATCAGTACTACTTTACCCGAAAAATCATATTTAATTGACATTTTATTGTTGTTTTCAATTATATTATATATATATATTATTATTATTAAAACTTATATGTAATGTATAACAAACAAACAAAATCTATAGTAATAATAATAATAATATCATATATAAAAATATTTGATATTATTTTTTATTTCAATTTGATTTTTGTGATACTACTTGTATTTATATATTAATATATATATTATGAAATTAATAATACTATTATTAGTTTGTTGCTAACTATTTAAATTATCATGGTCAGTCTATCAACAATTATCTTAACAATAAAATTACATATATTGTGTATAGTATGTAATTTAGATTTTAATTTTTTTTTTATTCATAATTGAACTATTCAATCAAGGTCATAAATTGTACGTTTAAAAATAAATAAATATTAATATTTATTTAATAAAGGGTTATTTTTTTAATAAAACGATTAAAATTAAATTAAATTGTATTTCACTTATAATAAGGATGTAATTGATTATAAAAATAAATTCATTCAATCAATCAATAAATTTAATTTAATTAAATAAGTTTTTTTTGTTGGTATAACTTTTTGATTTTTTTAATTTGAATTTAATATTATCACTATAAATTGCATCACTAAAAAAATCATAAAACTAAATAAAATTTTATTTAATTCTAGTTTATATTAATTAAATTAATAACAAAAACGTTTAACTTAGATAATAATTTAATAATTTTAAATTAAACTAAAAATTAATTGTTTATTACTATTAATTTTTAGATAATAAGATTTTTCAAAAACAATTTTTTAATTATAACATTTTTTTAATAGAAATCATAAATTTTAATTCAAATATAATTTTTAAAATATAAAAGTTTTATACAATTAAAGTAATTGAGAAAAATTAATATAAGAAGTAATATATAATACTATAATATGAAATAATTTTATTATAATAATAATTTTGTGTATAATTGTATTTAAAAAAAATTAATTTTAACAAAAATTATAAACCATATTTTTTTTTAAAAAAATAATTATTTAAATTAAAAGTTTTTACTTTAAAAAAAATTAATCCATAGGAAAATCACTGGACACTATCAAACCGCCATCAACACATAGTTGGGCACCGGTAATAAATTGGGCATGGTCACTGGCCAGATATAGTACAGTATCGGCTAGTTCATGGGGTAGTCCTGGTCGACCTACCGGAGCTAAACTACCCATTTTGTCGAATAGGGCATCATTTTGTTCAATAGTCATACCCCGTGTAGTAGTAAATGCTAATGTTTTTATTGGTCCCGGACTATACATATATAAATAAAAATATAATTAATAATAGTTAATAAAATTTTTTAAAAAAAATTATAATTACTTAAAAACATTAACCCGAATATGTTTCGGACCCAATTCCGCGGCACAACATTTGGTAAACATATCTATTGAACATTTAGCCATACAATAGGCTGGATTTGATGAAAACTATTTAATTAAATCAATATAAAAAATATAAAAAATAATTAATATATTTTAAGAAAATAAATAAATAAATAATAATAATAATTTAGATAATTAAATTATCAGTTAATTAATTAATTAATTATTAATTATTGAACATTTAATAACATCCATAAGTAAATAGACTGGATTAGTAGTAAACTATAAATATTATATTTAAATATTAATATTAACAAAAATTAAAAAAAAAAATAAAATAATAAATATTTATAAAAACAAAAAGTTATAATAACTTTATTATCAGTTAATTAATTAATTAATAACTTACGGCTCGAAGTCCGGCAATACTTGATATGTTAACAATGTTTCCCCGAGTTTTGGCCAAATGATCGACCGATAGATGCGTTAATAATACCATTGAATTCAAATTCAATTGCATTTCATTTAGAAATTTCTGATAAAATTCTGGATCTGTTAATGAACTCATTGTAGTTCCGCCGGCATTGTTGACCAATATATCCAGTCGACCAAAATGTTGGACAGTTGTCTCCACTAGACGTTTGATATCCTCATCATTAGTCAAATCTCCGACCACTTCCAATGTCGGCAATTGTTTCGGCGAAACACTTTGACACTGTTTGGCCACTTCGGCTAATTTGTCCGATCGTCTACCAGTGATCACAACAGTGGCACCCGATCGGGCAAATTGGACGGCAATGGCCGCACCGATACCCGAACTCGAACCGGTTATCAATACTACTTTATCGGTGAAATCAAATTCAAGAGACATTTTTTATATATATATAAATCTTTCTAAAAATTTTTTTAGTTACTAAATATCTATTCAATAGTATTTATATATTATATTATATAAAATTATTATATAAACAGCATATATAAACTATTTATTTTGTACATATCAGGGTTGCTATTGAGGGATGGTTAGGGGGTAAGTCATTTTTTATTTTATTTTTGTAAATTTTTAAAAATAAATATTAATTAGTGAAAATATTTTATTTTGAAAATATTGTTAATATTTTGTGATATTAAGTTAATAATAAGTTTTTTTTAGTGAATTTATGGAGAATTTCGAGAAAATTTATTGTGAATATATAGGGAATTTATAGGGAATTTATAGGGAATTTATAGGGAAGTTATAGGGAATTTATAGGGAATTTGTTAAAAATTAATGTTTAAAAATTTACCCCTTTCTCTTATACCCCACTAAATTTTTTTCCTCAATATATTTGATATTTAATCCTCCCCTCCTACCCCCTCCCCTACTGAGATCGAAAACCATTATCAACTATAATATATCATATATACAGTAAATACTGTATATTTATAACATTTAATTGATTTAAATTAAATATTTAGCGTATAACTTATTTCCATTATTATTATTATTATAAAATATTGAATTAATATATGTTATCATAAATTAATTATATACTTTAAAAAAAGTTTTGAAATATAAATATATCTATAAATATAATGATTGTTAAATCTATTGTTAATTTACTATTCAAGGCTATACTAACTACGTATATATTATATATTTATTTTTAAATTTCAAAAAAATCATTTATTTCTATAATCAGATAATTTTATTTATTAACTATCATTTTTTGTATAATTTTGTAATCATTTATTTATGCAATTAGTTTTTTTTAAACAAAATAATAATTGTTTAATCAATATATAAAAATAATAGCAAAAATTAAAAATATAAGTTTAAAAAAATACTTAATATGTTTAAATATTATTTAATAATTTTAATGTAATTTTATATATACTAAATATTGAATATATAAACATTAATTATATTAGTATTACTAATACTAATAATAATACTTATATATATATATATATATATATATTAATTGATTATTTTTGTTTATATACTGTACGGAAAAATTTTAATAGTAATTTAAATGTAAAAAATTCAATGAATTTTATATATAAGCTAAAAAAAACTAAAACTAATAACAACTATATAAACAATTTTTGCTTAAAAAACTATATAACTATTATTATTTTTTATTTATTGCACCAATTTATCCAATTCGTTGACCATAGTATTGCCGGCCACTGAGCCGCCATCGATAATCAATTGGGAACCGGTTATAAATTTTGAATGATCACTTGACAGATATAGTATAGCATCGCCAACTTCATCGGGTAGTCCAGCCCTGCCTACCGGTGTTTGTGAACCAAAACCGTCAAACAAGGCATCGGATTGTTCAATGGGTAGACCCATAGCAGTTAGAAATTCAGTTTTAATAGGTCCTGGACTATAATTTTATTATATTTTTTTTGGTGGTGGTTAAAAATATAAAATAATAGATTATTAATTAATTAATTAATTAAAATTATTTATTTTTTGTAGTTTGAAATTACTTGATAGAGTTAACCCTAATATGTTTTCGTCCCAATTCCGCGGCACAACATTTGGTAAACATATCTATTGAACATTTAGCCATACAATAGGGGGCATAGTTTGAAAACTAATTGAATAATAATAAATAAATATTTTTAATTAAATTAATCATTATTATTGATTATAATTTAATATTTCTATATACTGTATATAAACAAAAAAATTATATTAAAATAATATATATATATATAGTATATATATAGTTACTAATTGTATGGCTAAGTGTTTAAGAGTATTATATACTATATTATAGTATATAATACTATTAAACACTTAGCCATACAATTAGTTAGTAAACTATTTAATAGTATCAACAAACAAACAAAGATAAAATAAAAATAATAAATATTTATTTAAAAAAAATAAATAAATTAATAACTTTATTATCAGATTAGTTGAAAACTATTAATTAAATCAATAATTAAAAAAAAAAATAAAAATAATATAATTTAAGAAAAAAATAATAATTTTGATAATAAAATTATAATTAATTATAATAACTTTATTATCAGTTAATTAATTAAATTAATTAATAAATAACTTACGGCTCTGAGTCCGAAAATACTTGATATGTTAACAATGTTTCCCCGAGTTTTGGCCAAATGATCGATAGATAGATGTGTCAGTAATACCATTGAATTCAAATTCAATTGAAATGTTTTCTGATATTTATCATAAAACTCTGGATCACTAAGCGGTGCATTAGTACCGGCGCCGGCATTGTTGACCAATATGTCCAGTCGACCAAAATGTTGGACAGTTGTCTCCACTAAACGTTTAATATCCTGATCTTTAGTAACATCGGCTACCACTTCAAGTGGTTTCAATTTTTTCGGCGAAACACTTGTACATTGTTTGGCCACTTCGGCTAATTTATCCGATCGTCTACCAGTGACCACAACCATGGCACCCGATTTGGCAAACTGGACAGCAGTAACGGCACCGATACCCGAACTCGAACCGGTTATCAGTACTACTTTACCGGTAAAATCGTATTTAATAGACATTATTATTATTATTATTATTATTATTATTATTTTTTTTATTAAACTAATAATAATTATAATAATAATTTTTTATTATTGAGCAATTGTGCTCAGCTAACTGTGCTTTATATATATACCCCCAGATCGCCCATTGAATAATATATAATCATTAGTTATAGATTATTAGTTATTAAATTTGATAATTATACATTTTTGTTCAAGGCTAGGTAATACCAATTTGCATTAGTAAACCCCATTAATAATAATTATATATAATTTACAATAAAGTAATATATCATATATAAGTGTGTGTGTGTATGTGTGTGTGTGTGTGTGTGTGTGTGTGTGTGAGTATGTATGTATGTATGTATGTGTTTGTGTGTGTGTGTGTGTGTGTGTGTGTATGTGTGTGTGTGTGTGTGTATTTACGTATGTATGTATCATTATTTTATTTTGTATTATTAGTATTATTGTGTACAGTATATAATAATATTGAATTTTAATTAATGTTTTAATCAATTATTACTATTTGTTTAATTTATTTCACTGTCATTGAAAAATTAATTTTTTTTAAATGTGTTAATTATAAATGTTTAAACTTGCTTACGTAAATTGTTTAAATTGCTCATTGTAAATTTAGTTATCTAATTACTATATATTGTATAGATTTTATTTTTGCACCTAAAATAAAACATATTTAATTTATTTAATATTTATTAAAATTAATTATTTCTAAATAAAACAAAACAAATAAATATATATATAATTTCTATGTATTTTTAAAAATTATACTTAATATTTAAATTTTTTTCCTTTACTTAATAATATTTTTGTTTAGTTTTTTTTTGTAAATTTATGTTTTAGTTATAATGTATTTTTAGCAGTTTTTTTTTGTTGAATAGCTAACTGTGCAATTAAATACCTGAGTGCGACAGTGAATAATAAATTAGTTAATTTTTTTTTTTAAAAATAAATTTTACATATTAATAGTATTTAATAATAATAATAATAATAGTATTTAATTTTAATAGTAAAGCTTATAGTAATACTTTAAATAATTTTGTCAAATATTGAATTGATTTATTTTGTTGTTAAAATCAATTATTATTATTTTTTTTATTTATTATTTTATCCTTGAAATGTTTAATTTATTTTAATTGTTAAATAAGTTTTATCATTGTAATTGTTATCACTATATTACTACTATATATTGTATAGATTTTTGTTGTTGTCACCAAAAAAAATAAAATAAATAATTTATTTACTATTTATATTAAATTTAAAAATTCAGGAAAAAAAACAAAACAAAACAAAAATAAAAATAAATAAATAAAATATCTATATATTGAAAATTATATTTAATATTCATCTAGAATTAATAATTAAATAACTAGAAATAAAATCTAAAATTTTTAAAACATTTTTATAAACTATATATTTATAAATAGATTATGAATTTTTTTTTAATAATTACCAATTTTTAAACAATTATTAAATTATTTAATAATTTAAATTAAATTATAATTTTTTAAATACATCAGTTGGAAATGAATTGGCCGCAACCATACCGCCATCAATGACCAATTGGGTACCGGTAACAAAACGGGCATGGTCACTGGCCAGATATAAGACAGTATCGGCTACTTCCCGGCCTTGTCCGGCCCGGCCTACCGGTGTAAAGCTGCCCAACGTATCAAATATGGTATCAGCCTGTTCCCGGGTCAGGGATCTGAATGCACCGGTTTTTATTGGTCCCGGACTAAATAAAATAAAATAAATAAAATATATTAATTATAATTAATTAATTAAAAACATATTAATTTTGATTTTGTATAATTATTTTTAATTATTATACTATAATTAATTAATTAATTGATTAATAAGATTATTGATTTTTTAAATTACTTATATTATATTAAAATATGATTAATAATAATAGTAGTAATAATAGTTATAATCAAAAATTAAAAAATTATAATAATTACTTAATAACATTAACCCGAATATTTTTCGGTCCCAATTCCGCGGCACAACATTTGGTAAACATATCTATTGAACATTTAGCCATACAATAGGCTGGATTAGTTGAAAACTATTTAATATGTAAAATAAAAAATAACATAAAAATAATAAAATATTTATAAATAAACAAAAAGTTATAATAACTTTATTATCAGTTAATTAATTAATTAATTAATTAATTAATTAATTAATTTTTAATTTCAATTTTAATTTAATAAATTTATAATAAAAAAAACTATGTAACATTTAAATAATAAGAATAAAAATAATTAATATATTTTTAGAAAAATAATGATAATAATAATTCTGATAATTAAATTATAATTAATTAATAACTTTATTATCAGTTAATTAATTAATTAATTAATAACTTACGGCTCGAAGTCCGGCAATACTTGATATGTTGACAATATTTCCCCGAGTTTTAGATAAATGATCGACCGATAGATGTGTCAGTAATACCATTGAATATAAATTCAATTTCATATCTTTTTGATAATTTTCATAAAAAAATTTCATCCAATACTGTCGACATTGTTGGTTGAACCGGCATTATTGACCAATATATCCAGTCGACCAAAACTGAGGACAGTTGTCATTACCAAACGTTTGATATCCTGATCTTTAGTCAAATCGCCGACCACTTCCAATGGCCGAAGTTTTTGCGGTGAAACACCCGTACACTGTTTGGCCACTTCGGCAACTTTATCGGCTTGTCTACCGGTGACTACAACCGTGGCACCCGATTGGGCAAACTGGACGGCAGTGGCCGCACCGATACCCGAACTCGAACCGGTTATCAGTACTACTTTATCGGTGAAATTGTATTTAAGAGACATTTATTTTTTATATATAAATAATTTATGATTTATTTATTAATATTTTTTTTCATATATCATAACAATATTAATTATTTTTATTATTTTTTTGAACTATAAAATGTTTGAAACTAATTGATTGATTGATTGCATTATATATACACTTATTTACACATTTTTTTGTGAACTATTTATTTATTTATTTATTTATCTATTTTTGTTGAAATCACAAAATTGTACACTAATCAAGGTTATTTATAAAATTACCTGTATTAATATTACTATAATATTTTTTTTATGTAGTGATTTATTATTAATTTTTTTTAATCAATATATTTATAACTATTTATTAATTAATTTATATAATAATAATTATATTTATATATATATAGTATGTATTTATGAACTGTATAATTTTTTATTTAGTGCAAATGCACTAATTAATTAAACACGTTTATATTAATTAGTAAACTAAGATAATAAAATAAATTATATATATATATATATAAATTATAGAAAATTAACCTAGTTTATTAATTTATTTTGTTTTCTATGTTAACTATAGTTGTCAAAATAGTTGTCAAATTAAAATTATTAATTATAAATAAAGTATAATTTATTAAAAATATATCATAATTTTTTTAATATTTTAAATATTCCTAAAAAATTAAATAAAAATTACAATTTATTTATTAAAAAAATAAATAATAATAATATTATTATTATTATTAGTTAATACTCAAAATATTTTTATTTTCATAAAAAAAACTTTAATTATAATTATATTATACTAAAAATCCAATATAATATTTTATTAAAAAATTATTTTTTAGTTTTTAGTTGATAGAGGCATAGAAAAAGCATTGGCAGCAACCATACCGCCATCGATGATCAATTGGGCACCGGTAACAAACCTTGAATGATCACTGGCCAGATATAGGACAGTATCGGCTACTTCATGGGCTAGTCCAGCCCTGCCTACCGGTGTTAAGCTACCTATTTTGTCAAACAGGGCATCATTTTGTTCAATAGTCATACCATGACTAGTTGTAAGTGCTAATGTTTTTATTGGTCCCGGACTATACATATATATATATATATATATATATATATATATATATAATAAAATATAATTAATAATAGTTAATAAATTTTTAAAAAAAATTATAATTACTTAATAACATTAACCCTAATATGTTTTGAACCCAATTCCGCGGCACAACATTTGGTAAACATATCTACTGAACACTTAGCCATACAATAGGCTGAATTAGTAGTTAACTATTTGTTATTAATTTAAAAAATAATTTTAATGATAATAATAATAATAATAAATAAATAAAAATTTAATATATATATATATGTATATTAGTAATAATTATTAATGTTAGTTATTATTAATTAAATAAAGAGATAAAAATAATTAATATATTTTAAGAAAAAAATATTAATAATAACTCTGATAATCAAATTATAATTAAATAATATCTTTATTATCAGTTAATTAAATTAATTAATAACTTTATTAAATTAATTAATAACTTTATTAAATTAATTAATAACTTTATTAAATTAATTAATAACTTTATTATAAGTTAATTAATTAAATTAATTAATAACTTACGGCTCGAAGTCCGGCAACACTTGATATGTTAACAATGTTTCCCCGAGTTTTGGCCAAATGATCGACCGATAGATGTGTCAGTAATACCATTGAATTCAAATTCAATTGCATTTCATTTTGAAATTTTTGATAAAAATCTGAATCATTTAATTGACTTTCAGTTAGACCGCCGGCATTGTTGACCAATATATCTAAGCGACCAAAATGTCGGATAGTTGTCTCCACTAGACGTTTGATATCCTCATCATTAGTCAAATCTCCGACCACTTCCAATGTCGGCAATTGTTTCGGCGATACACTAGAACACTGTTTGGCCACTTCGGCTAATTTATCTGATCGTCTACCAGTGATCACAACATTGGCACCCGATTTGGCAAACTGGACGGCAGTGGCCGCACCGATACCCGAACTCGAACCGGTTATTAGGACTACTTTTCCACTGAAATCATATATAATAGACATATTTTTTTGTAGTTTAGTTTAGTTTACATTAACTAATAAACAAAACTAATTTTACTTTTATGTAGTTTTAAAAAAAAAAATTATTTTATATAAATACTATTTTTTTTATTTAATAACAAATAGTAAAATCAATTTTATTTATTAATATATATATATATATATACAATATATATACTAAATATATTATAATCTATGGACTGTTATCTATAGATATTCAAGGCTATACACTAGACTACACTACACTACATATTATAGTAATTTATTTTTAAATAAAAATTTTTATAAATTAAAAAACAAAAGTATTTTGTATTAATAAAAGTTTTAATATCAAAAAATAAAAATTGTTTATGTATTGTTTTTTATTTAATAAATTGATTTAATTGATTTATATTGTTTACATTGAATATTAATTAAGTATTTTATTGTTATGAAATCTTATATCAAATTTTAGTAATAAAATTCTGTTATTATAATTATGTTTAAACAAAAATTAATTAAAATTATAATAAATTTATAAAAAAATAAATCTAAACAATTATAATACTGATAATTATAATTTAGAAGAAAAAATAAATAAACATTAAGTAAATTATTTTAAAAAGTAATACTAATTTTTTTCAAAGCAAAAAAACTAAAATAAAAATAGTTTTAAAAAATTAATAAATATATTGAAAAATATTTATAAGTCCTTGAATGCACTCATGGGAAAGGCATTGGCGGCTACCATACCGCCATCGATAATTAATTGGGCACCGGTAACAAATTTTGAATGATCACTGGCCAGGTATAGGCAAGTATCGGCAACTTCCTCGGGTAGTCCAGCCCTGCCTACCGGTGTTACGCTACCCATCTTATCAAACATGGCATCATTTTGTTCAATAGTCAAACCAACCGCTGTAAAGGCTGATGTTTTTATTGGTCCCGGACTATACATATATATAATAAATAATTAATAATAGTTATAATAAAAATTTAAAAAATTTATAATTACTTAATAACATTAACCCGGATATGTTTCGGTCCCAATTCCGCGGCACAACATTTGGTAAACATATCTATTGAACATTTAGCCATACAATAGGCTGGATTAGTAGTAAACTATTTAAAAATAGTTAAAAAATATTTTTTAAAAAATTAATAAATAAAATTAATAAATATTTATAATAATAAAAAAGTTATAGTTTAATAACTTTATTATCAGTAAATTAATTAATTATATAAAAAAATTATATGAAAAATATATATATGATAATACTATTAAACACTTAGCCATACAATTAGTTAGTAAACTATTTTAATAGTATCAACAAACAAACAAAGATAAAATGAAAATAATAAATATTTATTTTTTAAAAATAGTTTAATAACTTTATTATTAATTAATTAATTAATTAAATTAAAATTAATTAATAACTTACGGCTCTGAGTCCGGCAATACTTGATATGTTAACAATATTTCCCCGAGTTTTGGCCAAATGATCGACCGATAGATGTGTCAGTAATACCATTGAATTCAAATTCAATTGCATTTCATTTAGAAATTTCTGATAAAATTCTGGATCAGCCAATGAACTCATAGTAGCACCGCCGGCATTGTTGACCAATACGTCCAGTCGACCAAAATGTTGGACAGTTGTCTCCACTAGACGTTTAATATCTGCATTATTGGTAACATCTCCGACCACTTCCAATGGTTTCAATTTTTTTGGCGATACCAGCGTACACTGATTGGCCACTTCGGCCAGTTTATCCGATCGTCTACCGGTGACTACAACCATTGCACCCGATTTGGCAAACTGGACGGCAGTGGCCGCACCGATACCCGAACTCGAACCGCTAACCAGTACTACTTTGCCGGTAAAATCAAATTTCAGAGACATTTTCAATGTTTTTTTTTTTGTTATAAATTATAAGTATTAAGTTATTATTACTATATTATTATTATTAATAAGTAAACAGTTTTAATCAATATTAGTATTAATATATATATATATTTATATATTATTTTATTGATTTAAAAATTGTTATATTATAAGTGTTTTTTTTTATTGGGATTGAATATAAAACTTATAATTGATACTAAAAGTGCAATATATATATATATATATAATTTTTGTTTAGCTATTTATGCACTATTTATACTGAATGCACTATGTATTTGATCAAGGTTATATAAAATAAACTATAAGTTTAGTACATTTACTGTTTATTTATTTATTAAATAATAATAGTATATTTCACACTTATATATAGACTGACCAAATAATATTTTTTTTTAATTAAAAAGAGGACATAGATAATTTTTGTTTTAATAAATAATAAACCTGAACAAATTAATAATTTTCAATCCTTATAATAAAAAAAATATTTTTTTATATAAAACAAATTTATTAAGTATATGTAATGAAAACTTTTTAATTAGTTAATAGTTATTTATTTTAATAAAACTAAAATAAAAATCATACAAGTAAAATACAAATTTATTTATTATGCAATAATTTTTTTATACAATATATATTGTTATTTTTTTTTGATTTATATTATATTTCAATATTTTTTAGTAAACAAAATATTACATAATAATGTAACCAATTTGTGCTATAATTATTGTATTTATTTTTATTTAATACTTTTTTAAAAAACAATTAGCATGGACATTTAGATCCTATCCAGGAAATATGTTTTAAAAAATTCGGGACTGTCCAGGCCAAACCGTTTACAGTTGGTAACCCTACTTATACATGTTCTTACAGTTAATGTATAGAAATATTTCTATAGATAAATGTATACAATTTTGTATATATATATACATGTACATAACATGTACTGTATATAATGCAAAAAATATATATTACAGTATAATACTGTAGTATATTACTATTGAAAGTTAAAATATATGTGTATGTCTTTGAACAATCAATTTTATACCATATACAGTATATCATATAATACTATACATATATATATACTGTATATCCATAATATGTTTGAATTGCACTTAAAAACAAACTTTTATAATTAAATGTACCAAAAGTACCAAAATCTAAAATATACAGTAAACGGAAATACAATATAGTTTTTAAATAATTTTTTTTTGTTTTATTTATTTAGTGATTTTTTTAAATAATTTTATTTACTTACAAAAAAAATTATTAAAAATTTAATTATTTTTTTTAGTAAATTGTGTGTTTGAAAACTACACTTACATTAATATTACAAAAATTTATTGTTTTTTAAAAAATAATTAATTAAAATTAACTTACTATATTATAAATAATTTTAAATAATTATTTAAAAAAAAAAATATTTTATATAATGTTATAATACTGTATATATAATTATTTTTATAAACTAAAAAAATAAATGTTGAAAATTATTTAGTATTTAAAATTGTTTTTGTTTAGTTGGATATAACAGTAATAATAATAATAATATATTAGTAAATAATTTATTATACAAATAAATTAGCAATCTTAAAAGTAATTTTTTATTAAATAAATATTTTAGTGATTCATTAAATAATTAAAATAATAATAATAATTCAAATAATTCAAATAATAAATAAATTCAAATAATAATAATTCAAATAAAATATATAAATTACAACATAATAAATACCGTTATAAAAAAAATTCAATAACAAAATTTTATTTTAAAATAATAATAATAATTATAATAATCAATAGTAATAATTATAATTTTAAAAAAATCAATAGTAATTAAAAAATCATATCTAATATATCTATTGGCCGCCAGTAATGTTAATTTTCATACCAGTAATAAAACTATTATTATTTTTTTCATAATTATTAGTCTTATTATTATTAGTATCATTACCACCACTACTACTACCGGTGCCGGCGGTTGACTGGACAATCAGATAGACTACTGTATTGGCCACATCCACGGCAGTACCCATACGTCCCAATGGTATTGTTTGCAAATATTGTGGCAAAAATACTAGATGTTTGAGCATCGGATGATTGATAACTGCCGGTGTCTCGATTACACCGGGACTATACAGTCAGGCCATCACCGATACAATACCAATAGTACCCAACCAGGGGAGGGGGGGATTAATATGTATGTGTGTGTGTGTGTGTGTGTCGTTGCAATGTGTAATATGTAATAAAAATGTTATAATAATTGTAAATAATTAACCTTAAAATTATATATACTGTATACTAGTGTACTAACCCGACACTGTTAACCCGTATACCATTGGGTGCCAATTCATGGGCCAGACATTTGCTAAACATATCCAAACTTGATTTACTCAATAGTGTTGGCAATGCCTTATAGTACTAAAAAATATTAATAAGTTTTAAAATAAAATAATTAAAAAATATATATATATATATATATTAATAAATAACATAAAATAAAATATTTTTTTAAAAATAATAATTAAATTGTTTGTCATTTATATGTTTAATCTAAATAAAAATAAAATACTAATTTTTATACTAAAACCCCCTGACCCGTCACCACCCTCCTCTCACGTCACCCCCTGACCCGTTACCCCCCATCCCATGTCATCCATACCTCATCCCAATCAATAACTTACCGGTTTCTCATAGGACGACACATTTACAATACTACCGCCACCGCCGCCGCCGCCACTGGCCATCATCAACAACGGTATCAATTGGCGGGTCAGGCGTTGTATGGCTCGCAAAAATTTTAGCTCTTCATCCAAAAAACCCAGACAATCCGTATCGGTAAAACTGGCCAACAAAGCTATGCCGGCATTGTTGACCAGTATATCCAATCGGCTATCAAACTCTGATCTGACTCTGTCGACCAGCGAATCCAGTTCCCGATCGTCAAGTATATCGGCTCTGATACCTATAACTTTTTGTTTAGTAGTAGTAGTAGTAGTAGACAACAGGCCATCCGTTTGTTTGCTGGTCGGCATCGGCGGCTGATTGTTGCGCAATCGGTTGACTACGGTTTCTATGTGCCCGTAGTTTTCATAGCCGGTTATAATAACCGATGCACCCAATGACCATAATTGTACGGCTATGGCCTCACCGATACCCGATGTCGAGCCTATTATAATAATAATAATTAGTTAATAATAATAATTAGTTAATAATAATAATTACTTAATAATAATAATTACTTATTAATAATAATTACTTAATAATAATAATTACTTAATAATAATAATTACTTAATAATAATAATTACTTAATAATAATAATTACTTAATAATTATAATTACTTAATAATGATAATTAGTTATTAATAATAATTAGTTTTTAATAACAATTATTATTATTATTATAGTTTTATAATCTCAGTATTTATTTATTACTAATATATATACTGTATATATATGTAGTTATTATATATATATATTAAAATTAATTATTAAAAAAATAATATTATTATTTATATATTTACCAGTAATTAATGCAACTTTATTTTCCAACACTAGCATTGTTTTAAACTTTATAATAATAATAATAAAATTTAAATTTAAAAAAATAATGATAATATTTTATAAGTTTATATTTTAATTATTTTAACTTAACAAACAATTTTTTAGAAATAGCAAACAAATATTTATTTATTTAGGTTTTTAAACAAATTGTTTATAATTTTAACATTAATACAAGTCATATAAAAACCAGTTGAGAATGCTAGAAAGCATTACCAAAAACAAATTTTTATTGCGTAAATTACTTGTTTTTGTCATATTATAAACAAAATATTTATTCCTAATAGTCATTATATCATATCTTTAATGACAAAGTATTTATGTTGAAACAATATATTTGGTGATATAAAATTTATTATGATGCAATATTTATGGTAATGTAATATTTCTGGTGATGCAATATTTATGTTGAAACAATATCTAAGGTTATACAAAATTTATGGTGTCGCAATATTAATGGTGATGCAATATTTATGATGATGCAATATTTATGATGATTGCATAATCATAGTTATTGTATCATCATAAATACAGCATAACCATAAATATTGCATCATCATAAATATTGCTTCATCATAAATATTGAATCACCATAAATATTGCATCATCAGAAATATTGCTTCATCATAAATATTGAATTACCATAAATTTTCTATAACCAAATATTCTGATTCAACATAAATATTGAATCATTATAAATACTGCATAACCTGAAATATTGCATCATCATAAATTTGCTTCATCATAAATATGCAACATAAATATTGCAACATCATAAATATTGCATCATCATAAATATTGCATCATCATAAATTTGCTTCATCATAAATATGCAACATAAATATTGCAACATCATAAATATTGCATCATCATAAATATTGCATCATCATAACTATTGCATCACCATAAATATTGCGACACCATAAATTTTGTATAACCTTAGATATTGTTTCAACATAAATATTGCATCACCAGAAATATTACATTTCCATAAATATTTATAGTGATGAAATTAAATTTTTATGATTTATAGGCCATTTTATAATATATTAATTTATTGTTATAACTTAATATTGTAATTAACTGTATTTATTTGTTAAACTTAAATTTTAACAAAAAACTCACTTTAAAAATTTATCCGCCATTTTCTGTTTTGGAAGAGATATTAAAATTTTAATTCTGATTTGTTTAACTTATAATGTTTTATTCAAATCTTAATTTTAAAATATATATATATATCATAACATAATAAATTACTAAATAATTAATTAATTAATATTATTTTATATTTACCCCAAAAACTATATTACATAGTATAGTGATATTAATTATTTTATTAAAATTAATAATAATAATAATAATAATAATAATAATAATAATAATAATAATAATAATAATAATAATAATAATAATAATAATAATAATAATAATAATAATAATAATAATAATAATAATAATAATAATAATAATAATAATAATAATAATAATAATAATAATAATAATAATAATAATATCCTATTTAATAGTATTTTTTATAGGGTTAATATTAAATATTTTTTAAAAAATTATTTACATATTAATATTTTAATTAAAAAACAAATATTCAAAAAAAAAACGGGAGAGTATGAAAAAAAAAGTTTCTCAATAAATTTTTTACATTATTTATTATAATGACATTTTATTACAATCTAACATATTTTAGATTATTTATTTATTTATTATTTATTTTTTTTTAATGAATCATTACAACAATTAATAAAACAAAATATAAAGGTTACTAACGTATAGTATTGTGTAAAATAAATTACTAAATAATATATTACAAAATAATACTGTATAATAATTAATTGTATTTTATATTAACATAGACTAGTAATTACATAGTATATTGATATTAATTATTTTATTAAAATTAATAATAATAATAATAATAATATGCTATTTAATATAGTAGTAGTGTTTTTCATAGGATTAATATTAAACAATTTTATTAATTATTATACAGATTATTATTATTAAAAATAAATATTTTTTTAAAACTAATTAAATTATTAAACTATTAGTTTTTTTTTGTAAAATATTTTCTATACAAAAGTATTATAATTTATTAAAATATATATATATATATATATATATATATATATATATATAATATATACAAAAAAAATGTTTATTTTATTTTTTACATTAAGTCACGTTAATGTTTTTTAAAAAAAATTCAATCTAATTGTAAAAATATCATAAATATATTTGTTATTATAGTAATGTATATGAATTTTTTTTTGAAAGTAATTAATTAATTATATCATATAAATAACTAAATTAACTAATAAATAAAAATCTATAATTATTTTTGTTTTTTTTTAAATTTCTAAATATAATAAATTATAAGTAAATATTATTTTTTTTTAAAATTTGTACATTTAAACAAATAAATGTTTTGATAATATATATATATATTTTTTGCTAACTATAGTATAATATAATTTTTTTAAATGTTGATAATTTAAATAACATTTAGTTAACATTTTTTTTTGCTTTAAAACAAATTTAATTTTTATCATAAAAAATTTTATTTACATATACAGTAATATATATATATGTGTATGTTATGTACTTTAGTAAAAAATTATTAAAATAAATAATTTAGATATTTTGTTTGAATATAAATAATGTTTAATTTAATTTATAATAGTTTATCCATAACATAAAAAAAATAATTATTCAACAATTAGATATATAATACTAAATTTTTGTATTTATAACTAATTATTATAAATGTATTATAGTTTTAGTTTTAATAATTATTAAAAAATTTTTTATTATTTTTAATAATAATGTTTGAAAGTATTTGCAATTCAAAATTATGGGTAAGTTTTTTAATTGATTATTGTATTAAAAAATTTAATTAATTGAAATAATTTTTACTATAAGTATATAATACAATATAAAAAAAATAAATTAATATTAACTAATATTTTTTAATTAATAATTTTTTTAAAATAATAAAAATAATATCATTTTTTTGTTGGTAGTACTGATAATGCGGTGTTTTTTTGTTGTTGAAAATATCAATAGTTAGCTTATATTTAAATTAATTATTAACTAATTATATATATATATACTGTATATTACAACTATAATAACTAGGATTCAAATCAAACCTGGAATACAGACACACCTACATTAAGCACCTGTATGTTGGATACTGTATTTGTTTGGCTACCGGCACTAACATTATGGTCATCATGTATACCGATTATTATGTCTCAATGGGATTGTCATAATTGTCATCATAAAAAAACTAATAATAATAATAATAATAATAATAATAATTGTTTGTCTATTCAATGGAACCGCTATAACATTAGCCGTCTATCACTGGCTATACTCGGCACTGGTATTGCATTAGTCGAGTGTCTACTATGTCTATGGAGACGACAATATTATTTGTTAGACGAAACTACCGTAACTATTGGCCATATGATGGCCATTGTCATCAAATTACTAACACGTTTGACACTATCAATACTATTCTACTGGTATCGGCGATCCGGTACTAGTAATACCAGTCCACAGGTTTGGCTATATCTAGTGTTGGACACTGTTTTCGGTTGTCTATCATTGGTGGCCACATATATAACAACCGATACTACTATACCAGTCAAGTGGTGGTTGTCCACTGATTTTCAACTACACGCCAGCCAATTATTGCTAACTGCTTGCCTACTAGTCTACTGTTCGTATGCCGACACCTATAGTAGACAACTGTCCACAAATAGCACTACCGAAATAATACCCGAACCTACAGTATGTCCTGAAACTAGTGCATCGTTTCCATCGAAACTAACCTATCATTGGGTAAACAGTTTGATTTCGGTGTTTTACCGACAAAACTATTGTCTAACTAATAATGTCGAAGATTTATGGCCAGTCCGTCCCCGAGATAGTACCGATCATAACTATAGACTGTTTGCCCGAAACTGGTCAATGACTGGCCATAATAATAATAATAGTAATACCGAAAATCGGAAATTAAATACTAGTCGTAAATATAATGTCACTGATAAAAAACATAGACAACAAAATTTACTCTGGTCATTATTGAAATCCTATGGACTAGGCTATTTTTTAGCTAGCTCATTGTTTATAATGGCCGGTATTGTACGTGTATTGCAACCATTAATTATCAAGTACAGTTTTTATTTGTTTTATTTATTCATATAAATAAATAAATACTTTTAATATTATTTATTTTTAAATAATTATTTTTATTATCAATTTTAAATATTTTTTATATATAAAATAATAACTAATTATTATTATTTATTTTTGAAATAATTATTTTTAGTATCAATTCTAATAGTTTTATTTAAATAATAGCTAATTATTAATATTTATTTTTAAATAATTATTTTTATTATCAATTTTAAATATTTTTTATATATAAAATAATAACTAATTATTATTATTTATTTTTAAAATAATTATTTTTATTATCAATTCTAAATATATATTTTATATATAAAATAATAACTAATTATTATTTTATTTGTTTACTATAAAACTAAACTATATTTAATTTTTTTAAAAAAAAATAATAGATTAATGATTGAATTTACCGAAACTATCGGTGAACCTCAATGGCACGGTTATGTTTATACACTGGCACTGGTAGCTATAAACATGATCTACTCGTTGGCTTATGGATTTTATAGTCAATGGTCAACAGTTTTAGGTGTTTTATTTAAAATTAAAAATTTATAAATTAGTTATTTTTTTTAAAAATAAAATGTTTGTTTAATAATTTTTTTTATCTAATAATAATAATAATTATTATTATTTAAATTTTTTTAAGGACAACAAATACGATCGGCACTTATATCAGCCGTTTATCGCAAATCATTAATTATGGACAATAGCTATACTAATAATACTAATACTAATAATAATAATAATAAAATTAACAACAATAGGGACAACCAGGTGACCAATGGACCAATGATAACCAATGGGGAAATAATTAGTTTAGTGGCCATCGATTGTAATAGATTTGCAGGTATTTTTCAGTTTTTTTTTATAATATTATTTATTTAAAAATTTTTAAATAAAAAAAATAATTCAATTAAATTTTTATTATAAGTTTATTGTAATATTATTTTTTTTTTGTTGTGTTTAATACATATATTACAGATGAACTTCATTTAGTAATATTTTCACTCGTATCGCCCATACAATCGGCCATTATATTTGGCCAGTTATATAGGGAACTGGGTCTAATATCGGCACTGTCAGGTCTGGCTATACTAACCGGTCTAATAATATTATGTGCTATTATTGCCAAATATACTAAACAATTGATTGGCAAACAAATGTCCGAAAAAGATAAACGCTTGGATTTAACTAACAATGTTATCAATGGTATTAAAGTTACAAAAGTATTGATATTTTTAAAATTTTTTTTATGTTTTTAAAATTACTAATTAATTAATTAATTATTTGAAAATTAATTAGATATATATTTCTATAGTTATATTCGTGGGAAATGGCATTTCATGGGATTATTTGTAAATTAAGATCCAATGAGATCAGACACTTGCGTTTGGCAACCCTATTGAATACCATATATTTTGTTTTGGCTACCAGTGCGCCCTATTGGATAATATTTGTTGGCCTGGTGCTATATGTTTTGGTTTCTAATGGTCATAATGGTGCTGCTGGTGGTGGTAGTGGTGGTAGTGGTGGACAACCACCACCACCTCCTCCTATGACTATGACTGCCCAAAAATTGTTTATACCCCTAGCCCTGGCACAGTCACTAACTAATGTACTAATGATGTTCCCCCAGGGGGTCAGTTCACTAATATGGGTATGAGATAATTAAATTATTATTAATATTATTATTATTTTACTAAAATAAATATAATTTGAAAACAGTATTACATTATTATTACAGTATATATAATACTTAAATAATTGGCTATAATATGTTTGTTTTTTAAATAATTATTTATATATAATTAAAAATGTCATTATTTTTTTTTATTTTTTATTTTTCAATTTAAATTTAATTATAAATAATATTTATGATTTTATATAATAATAATAATAATAATAATAATAATATATTTTATTTTCGCAATAGATTTGGATTTCAATTAAACGATTGGAAAGATTTTTGAATCTACAAAACAAATGTGATTACATTAAATGTAACAATAAAATCAATAATAATAATAATAAATATGCAATAAAAGTAATTGACGGCAGGTTTGAATGGGGATCGGTAGCTAAAAACTACCCGATTGTTAACAAAACCACTACTACTACTACTACTACAACAACTAGATTTATGTTGAAAAATATTAATTTGCAAATAATTAGCAAACAATTTGTGGCTATTGTCGGTAATGTAGGCTCTGGTAAAAGTTCACTACTGGCGGCACTGTTAGGCGAAATGAACTGTTTGACACCGGGGAGTGCCGGTGTTACCTATGCTAGCGGTAACGGCGCCGGCGGCCGTCCAGACATAGCCTACTGTTCACAGCAGCCATGGATACTGAATATGTCGGTCAAACAGAATATATTGTTTGGCAAACCATATGATAGTCAGAGATACGGTCGGGTAGTTCAGGGCTGTGCTCTCGGACCTGATCTAAGACAACTGTCCGCTACGGACGAGACAGAAATTGGCGAAAAGGGTGCAAATCTGAGTGGCGGTCAAAAACAACGAATCAGTTTAGCCCGAGCTGTCTATTCAGATGCCGACCTATACCTACTGGACGATCCCTTCAGCTCAGGTATGTCTAAATTTAAAAAAAAAATTATTAATGGTATGTGTTATCTAAATTGTATATCTATTGTTATGATGTTGTTATCAAATGCAGTGGACAGTCATGTGGCCAGACATCTAATGTTTGAGGTGTTCAGCTCGCGGACAGGTATACTAAAACATACCACTAGATTACTGGTAACAAACCAGTTGTCCACAGTTTTATCAACGGAAGTCGATTTGATTATATATCTAATCGATGGCCAAATCAGTGCAATTGGTTCATATGATTCACTAATAAATCAATGCAAACTGTTTAATGATTTTGTTAATAATAGACAATATTCATTGCAAACAGTTTGTAATAATAATAATAATATTAATAATTTTATTCAAAGAGATAGTAATGTTAATAATAATAATGATAATAATATCAATGATTTTTTTGATATAAATCTAGAAGATATTAGTAGTGGTGAAAAAAATTCAAATAAATCTAATAATAATAATAATAATAATAATAAAACTGATAATAAACCAATTGATAATAATAATAATAATAAACAATTAATTAATGATGAATTTAGCGAAACTGGAAATGTTAGTTTTAAGGTTAGTTATAATTAATAATATTAATTAAATATAATTAAATAATAATTAAATATAATTAAATATATTAAATAATAATTAAATATACTGTATATTAAAATTTATTAATAAATTATTATGAAATTTGTCTCTAGAATTACAGTAAAAAAATCAATAAATTAATTACAAACTAAATTGATATTTAAAATACTTAAATTATTAAATTAATTTTTTTTTAAAAAACAAACAATAATTTAGGTTTACTTGAAATATGGCCGACAAATGTCCGTATGGTTGGCAACGGTTACGATAGTATTTTTTCTGCTATCATATACTACCCGAATATGTATAAACTTATGGTTAAACACATGGAGCCAGTCATCGGTAGCTACCGGTTCCCAACAACAACAACAACAACCTATTGGCTACTATTTTCATGTATTGGCCGCCCTGGTCCTGGTCCAATTGATAACAATATTTATTGGCCGCCTAGCACTGGTATACGGTTCGATGAGGGCATCCGATAGACTACATAAGCAAATACTTGGGTCAGTCATCCGATCGCCAATGAGTTTCTTTGATCAGACACCTGTCGGTCGGATTGTCAACCGGTTTAGCAAAGATTTGGATACTGTCGATACGGTTACCGTATTTACATTGGGGTCAGTAGTTGTAGTTGTTGTCTACCATTTCATACCTAACCCATGTTTATTGAAATACATGTTTTAGTTTTTTTATATATATATTAAAAAATTTATTATTATTATTTTAATAAACAGTTATGTCTTAGAGGTTGCACTGTTATGTATAATCAGTATAATTATCATATCCTGGACGACACCGTTATTTTTGATACCCGTATTGGTTGTACTAATAATTTTCTATATATTTCAGGTAACTATTGAATGTTATATATATTGATATATAACAATAATTAATAAATTTATAATTAATTGTTTTTATTAAAATGTTTGTTTTACATATATATATATATATATTTAATATATATATATACAGAATTTTTATACAAAATTATCATGCCAACTAAAACGGTAATTTTTTTTTAAATTATTTTATTTAATTTTTTTAATTAATATTTTAATGGGAAAAAATTATTTTAAATTTTATCATAAGTATACTATTATTTATTATTTTTTTTTTAAAATTATTATAATATTGTATTTTATTTTTTATTTGTTTGTTTGTTTGTTTTGCATAAAATAATAAATTAATTTAAACAACAAAATAAAAAAACAGTTTGGAGTCAACCACCCGATCGCCAATATTGGCCTATTTTAGCGAAACACTTACCGGTTTGTCGACTATCCGGGCTTACGACGGCTGTTCGGATCGATTCATCGGACACATGGACTCACTGGTCGATACCAATCAACGGTGTATGTATTCAACCGCTAGTTTGAACAGTTGGCTACAAATACGTCTGGACGGACTGGCCAGTCTACTGATACTGTTCGCAGGTTTCCTGCTAACTGTCCAGCGCCGGGAGGCCAGTGGTGGCGGCGACACCGGTATGTCTCTGTGCAATGTAACCAATCTGTCGTATTTGGTCGGCCTATTAGTTCGCCTATACGGCCAGTTTGTCAACAGTATGGTATCCTATGAACGATTGGCAGAGTATTGTCACCTGAAACCGGAAACAGGAGGAGCCGCCCATCGGCAGCAAACAACAACTGGCCAGCAATTATTGCCGACGGCGGCGGCAGATGATGATGACAACCAAAACTGGCCAAACAGTGGACGTATAGAGTTTCACGGCTATAGTGCCCGATATAGACAGGGCTTGGAGTTAGTACTCAACGAAATTGATTTGCATATCAATTCAGGCGAAAAGGTTTTTATAGTAAATAATAATAATAATAATAATTAAAATAATTATTTTTTTTTCTATAGATCGGAATCGTTGGCCGAACCGGTTCGGGAAAGTCGTCGCTAGTGTTGGCATTGTTTCGACTGATTGAACCAGCCGTGGGTCGGATAGTCATCGATGGCATAGATATCGGACGTCTAGATCTCCCAGAGTTAAGATCAAGACTGACAATACTACCGCAGGAGCCGATAGTCTATACGGGAACTGTTCGATCAAATTTAGATCCATTTGCCAGACATACTGACCCCGAGCTATGGTCAGTACTGGAGCGGTCACATCTGAAATCGTATGTCCAGTCGCTGGACGGCCAACTGGACTCACCGATTAGCGAATCGGGCGATAACCTGAGTGTTGGTCAACGACAGCTCATATGTCTGGCACGGGCTCTGTTACGTAACACTCGTGTCCTAATCCTCGACGAGGCCACGGCTTCCGTCGACGTCCAAACCGATGCACTCATACAGCAAACCATACGTCAAGAGTTTCGTGAGTCGACTGTCCTGACAATTGCCCACCGAATCCATACGATTATGGACTCCGATCGGGTAATAGTGCTCAACAATGGACGGGTAGTCGAGTTTGCCGAACCCGACAGTTTGCTTAGCGACAGTTCAACCATATTCTACTCACTGGCCAAAAATGCCGGTGTTTTTTAGCAAATAAATAATTATTATAAACATAAATATACTTTTTTTAAATAATTATACTTTAATGTTAGAGTTAAATAAATAAATATATATTTTATTTTTTTTGAATAATAAAATTTATACCTAATTATTAAAATTAGTTATAAGATATTAATTGTTTTTTATGATAACTATTTAAATTAAATAACATCATTAAAAATATATTATAATAATTACAATATATAATGTTTGAATATTTTTTTCAATTATATTATGTAACAAAAAAGTTATATTAAAAATATATTAATTAAAAAATTAATTTAATAATAATATTTATATAATCAATATTTTTTATATTTATAACTTTATATATTTTAAACATAATTATAATAATTTTTTTTTTTTTTTGAAAATAAATAATGTTATATAAATACTATAGATTAAATAGTTTTCTTATTTGAAAAAATTAGTTTATTTTATTTTGATAAATGTTTTAAGTAATTTTTTTGTTTAAAAAAAATTATTGTAACTCAATGCGTTTACAATGTTTTTTTTTAAAAAAAATATATAATTTAATTATTTTATAGTCTATTGATGATTAGTATACTATAAAAAATAACAAAATTATATATTAAAATATAAAGTAGATTTTGTGATATTATATAAAACCATAAGTATACTGTAATTACTGATTATTATTATTTATAATATTATTAAAAAAAAAATATAAATATTATATAAAATTTAACTTTAAATTTAAAAATTTAATCCATTGGTATATATTCATCGATTTTTGAATGACGATGATGATAATTATTAATATTGTTGTGGTTAATGTTGCTAGTTGAATTATTATTATAATAATAATTATTATTAATACTATTTTTTGTGCTAGTATCATTATCATTATTATCATCATTATCATCATCACTATGACATAGATTATATGCTACAATACCAGCAATCTATAATAAAATTATTAAAAAAAAATAAAATAAAAAATCAATAATAATTTAAAAATTATATTATAATTTTTTTCTTTAAGAAATATCTTAAAATTTTAAAATAATATTATAAAAAATTAATTAATTAATTAATTAATTAACAGTAATTATAACATACAAATAGAAATTCCAGTGCAACCATATAGACTGTTGACCAACGATAGCCTAACTGTCCTAATAGATAGCCTCCGAGTGCCGGCCCTATAGCCGAACCCAAGGCAAATGCCGACGAAAAACTGGCCGAAATTACGGCAAAAGTGCTAACATTTTCGGCAAAACCGCTTTTGCTATTTAATTATAGTATAAATAAATAAATAATTATATCACTGAATAACTGTGCAAAAAACAACAACAACTATACATAATTTCATTGAATCCATGGGTAAAACTGCCGACTACTAGACCTCCCATAGCGAAGCCCAGAAATATCTGGCCGACAATAACTAGCCATATATTACTGGGGAGAGGAGGAGGGAGGGGAGGGAGAAAAAAATTATTAATTTAATTGATTTTTTTGTGTTTGTTTGGGGTAGACATACGATTCAATTGGCAGGAACGGTAGCGGACCCGCGACTATATAGCTGAGCATTGAAAATAGACAACCGGCCAAACATAGCGAGTGTTTGTTGGCAACCTTATCCACTAGACTGCCCCAGTAGGGGTTGAATGCTGCATAAAATGCACCCTGTACAACAAATATGGCACCCTCCAAACCGGGCGATATGTTTTGTATCTATATATTTTTTTAAAAAAATTTTAAATATTAATTTTAATTAATTAATCAATTAATAGTATATTAATATTACATTAACTTAATTTTATATTAATATTATATTAATATTATATTAAAATTATATTAATATTATATTAATTTTATATTAATATTATATTAATTTTATATTAATTTTATATTAATTTTATATTAATTTTATATTAATTTTATATTAATTTTATATTAATTTTTAATAATAATAATTAATTAATAATAATATATTTACATTTTTTAAATGTAGATCCAATGTTGCATCATTAAAACCAATTAGTATACAACCATTAATTGTAATCAGTAAGTTAATTGAAAAATTAAAATTTTTAACTACAGTAAATATACTAGTTTGTTTACTATTATCTGTATAGTTATCTAAAATAATAATTAATTAATTAAAAAAAACATAAAATTATCTAGATAACATTATTTTTTTTTATTAATTATTTATACCTATACTATCGATTAGAAAATAAGCCAATAGTGAACCGATTATAATTAGGATGCCCAACACTTCAAACGGTACCATAAATTGGGCACCAATTAAATTACCCAGTTCCTCTAGTAGGCCACCCATACCCGGACCAAATATCATGCCAATAGCGTAAAACATTTCAGTTAGAGCCTGATGAAAAAAAAATTATAAAAAATATTAAAATTATTAAAAAATTAAAAAAACTTACAAATATTTTAGCCAAACTATCTGGATACTTTAGGCCCACTATTGTCCAGGCACTTATAAAAAACATGGCCGATCCCAGTCCCTGTAGTGTACGTATGATCATGCTGATTATAATAAATAGTATACCAGGTGGACACATTTGTAAAAATCTGTAAATAAAATAATAAAATATTTGTATATAAATATATATATTTTTAAAAAAAATTAGAAATTTTATCATGCTACAAAAAAATAAAATAATTTGAAATTTATTTGTTTATTACCCAAATAATAAACAGGTTAAGCCAGCAATTATTTGGCCACCAATTAGGGCGTGTTTAGGATTAATATTTGACATCTATATATATATATTAAAAACAATTAAATAGTTTTTTTAAAGATCATATTATCATGGTTAATTATTTTTTTATAAAATAATTTTATATATATATTACCAATTTGCCAAAAATGATTGACCCAAAAAATATGGCCACCTCAAATTGTGCCATTATCAAGCCGATCCATGTTTCCGATATGTCCTTTAATTTAGCCTGATGATTTAAAAAAAATAAATAAAAATAATATTTTCAATAAATAAACAAAAAACATAAAATTATTTTAAAAAATTCACACACTGTACTACATATACATAATACAGTATATAATGGGTACTAAACATATACATACATACATTCATGCATACATACATACATACATACATACATACATACAAATACACACTCACACACACATACATATAGACACACACATACATACATACCTGAGTGGGAAACAGTGGTCCCAGTATTGAGTAGGCACTGCCTACACAAAAATTCCCATAACATAATACTACAGTAGTCAACAATCGTCTATATTTACGTTGTCTGGATAGTTCACGTTGTTCAATACACTGGCGTATACGTTGGCCCATATCGACAGTGGCTATCTGGTCACCGTAGTTTTCATTTTGATAGGATGTAGCATTATCATCATTGATAGTAGCATTGCCAGTTGCCGATGCTGCTGCTGCACAATCACCAAACGTGGCCGGCACCTGTATGTTTGAGGCACGCCTGTTTTGATAGGCAAAACTTGAATAATAAAATGCCGATGATCGTCTACGATAGATACTGCCACGGTTCATAATTAATTTTATTTTTTTATTTTTTAATTAAAATAAAAAAGTTTTAACTAAAAAAACTAAAAACTAAAATCAAAATTCAAACAAAAAACACTTTTATTTAGAGTAAGTTATTTTTTTATTAGATATTTTGATGATTTTTGTTTATTTTATTATTATATTATGATATATACAGTATATATATATAGATAAACAATTATTAATTAAAAAATAATAATAAGTGTTTAACAATCAAAATATATATATATATATATATATAAACATATGTTAATTTGTTGATATATTTTTTTGTTTAACTATTATGTTAAATGTAATTATTACTATTTTTTTACAAAAATTTTGTGTTTTACAACTAATAGTTTACAATAACTGTAATAACTAAAATATTATATAAAAATTAAATAAAAATTAAAAAAAAAGTGTTTTTCCTATTAATTTTTTTTGACTTTAATTATGTTTTAATACTGTTTTAATATCTAACTTAAAAAAACGTGTAAATAATTATGATTTATTATATTATTATAGTTATAAGTAATAAAATAATTTTGTTTATGTGACGCAAAAATAATCTGTCAATTATAAAAAAATTACTATACATTATATATACATATATATATATATATATATAGTATATAAGTATAATAATTAAAACTAATATTTTTTATATAACACACAATAAATATGAGTAAATTACAAAATTTTTGTCTTTTAAAAATACACTAAAAAATAATTAATTTTCAATGAATCACTAAAAAACATGTGTTTTTAGTAAAAGTTTTTGTCAAAATAATATATTTTTTTTTTAAATGAAATAAAACTAAAAAAAACAAATAAATAATTATCTATAAAAATAAACTGATTATTCATAATATATAATAGTATAAAATTTTCAACAAAAAAACAAATAATAATAGTATTAATAATTAATATAAAATTTGTTGAAAACTTATTACTAAAAAAATGTTTGTTTTAATTAATAATTTTTAATTAATATTTTCAATTGTTGTATTAATTATCAGTAATTTTATATATATAAATATTTTTATGTTTTATCTAAATTAAAACAATTAATAATAAAGTATTACAATTTATTGTATATAAAAATATTTTAATAATCTATTAAATATTATTATTATTATTATTAAAGATTGTTTGAAAATAAATTTATTAATATTTAAAAAAATGTAATATAATTTAAAAATAAAATAGTATTAATATTTTTTTTGGTTATTTATTTACAGTGACATAATAATCATAATTTTAATTTATGTCAATAATATATTTAAAACTTAATTACATAAACTTAAACTTAAAACTTTTTATTTTGTAAAATCTAATTTATATTATGTACAGGAACAATTATTATATATATTTTTTTCTAAAAAATTAATTTTATTAAAATATGTAATATAATAAAGTAATTTTTTTTATTTAAAAAAAATTAAAATAAGTAGTATTTTGATATAATATACTACTTGTAAATATATATATAATATTAATACAGTATATAATATATACTTTTTTGTATATATATATATTATACATACTATATATATATATATATATATATATAATATTTTTTTTATTTAAACTATTTATAATTTAATATATTTTCCATTATAATTTATTTATAGCCAATAGATATAAATTAATAAACTTAACTAATGTTTTGTATTAATTAAGTTTATTAAACTAATCAATTATTTATAATTAATTATTATTATAAAAATTATGATTGAAAAAGTTATAAATAATATCTTTAAAAAACTCAATGAGCTAGCAACTTATAATTAAATAAATAATTAATATTATTATTATTATTATAAATATAAAATCATTAGAATTGATTGCAACACCAAAATACCTTGACACAATCATTTTAAAATTTTTAAAATTTCAAGTATAATTAATTAATTAATTTTCAAAAACATATTAAATAAATATCTATACAAGTATTTATACATGTACTCTATGTGTAGTTTATCTGACCTTGATTGAATAATGCACCTATTGATTAATTTGTTAAAATTGTTAACATTATATACATGTATGTATTTATTTATTTTTGTACATTATTTTTTGATATATTTGAATAAAAATTCAAATTCAATATTTTATGCGACTAAACATTTATATAAAAATAAATATTAACTTAAAAAAATAAATAAAATAAAATCAATAATATTATTATTATTAAATAATTGATTTTTTTAAGTTTGAAACAATGGAATATAATTAAAATTAATTATAATAAAACAATTAAATATGTAGTTTTACAAATTTATATTATATATATATATTATATAATATATATCGACACCGGTATGCTAGTACAGGGATGTATGATATTTTTGTCAAAAAAATAATAAGTTAGATAATTAAAAAAAAATTAAAAAATCAGCCTATTATAAAATTATCTTATCAAGGTATTTTTATTTTGTTTGCAGTAAATAGGAATAAATCTTATATTTATAATAATAAAAAATTACTTTATTAATTAAAAGTTGCTAGATCATTTAGATTTTAAGTATATATAAAAATAAAGTTTAATAAACTAATACAATGATAAATTAAATTATAAAGTTTTTTTTAGATATTTTGTTATGAAATTTAGGATTAATTAAGTTTAGTAAACTTATTAAATAATAAATTAATAGCTATTAATAAATTATAAGTTTATAAATAGAGAAACTGTTAAACGTTTTGTATAAATATATATAAATACAATTAGTATATAAAAACAAAAAATCAATACTAACTAAAATCAAATCAAAAAAAAATATTATCAAATATTTAATATATTTGAGATTATTATTAGTTTATTTATATATATATATATATATATAACTATATATAATTTTATTATACATTATATATAAGTTTTAATAATATTTATATAAAATGTCACTTAAATATGATTTTTCGGGTAAAGTAGTACTGATAACCGGTTCGAGTTCGGGTATCGGTGCGGCCATTGCCGTCCAGTTTGCCCAATCGGGTGCCAATGTTGTAGTTACCGGTCGGCGAGCCTCACTAGTTGCCGAAGTGGCCAAACAGTGTACGAATGTTTCACCTAAACAATTGCCGGCATTGGAAGTGGTCGGAGATATATCACAAAAACCTGATTGCAAACGTCTGGTTGAGACAACTGTCCAACATTTTGGTCGTTTGGACGTATTGGTCAACAATGCCGCTATCGGTACTCCCGGAGCGCTCAGTGATCGGGAATTTTATCAGAAATTTGAATCAGTTATGAAAATAAATTTGAATTCAATGGTATACTTAACACATCTATCGGTCGATTATTTATCGGAAACTCAGGGAAACATTGTTAACATTTCCAGCGGTGCCGGTATTAAAGCCGTAAGTTTTTTTTAAATTAAATTAATTAATTAATAATTTATTATTATTATTATTACTGTATATATATATATATATATAGGTTACAGGTATGTCAGCCTATTGTATGTCTAAGTCAGCTATGGGTATGTTTACCTATTGTTGTGCCGCTGAGTTGGGACCCAAACATATTAGGGTTAATGTTATCAGGTATTTAGATATTTAATTAATTAATTAATTTTATTATTATGTATTATTATGTTTAATGTTTGTTACTATTGTTACTACTGTGTATATACTGTATATATATAATTAGTTAAATTTTATTATTATTATTAATTATTAATTATATATTTTTTTTATTTATTTTTTTTATTTGTTTATTTATCTGAATAACCGGTATTAGTCCGGGAACCATAAAAACATCAGCATTTACTACACTGGGTATGACTGTTGAACAAAATGATGCCATGTTTGACAATATGGGTAGCCATTTACCAGTTGGTCGACCCGGACAACCCGAGGAAGTGGCCGATACTGTACTATATTTGGCCAGTGACCATGCCCGATTTGTTACCGGTGCCCAGATTAATGTCGATGGCGGTGGACTAGCCCTATCTTATGATTAATATATAATATTACATTCAATGAGTTATTATATCAATATATATATATACAAAAAAAATTATTATAAAATTTTTCTAGTTTTTTCTGGAAATTTATTGATTTATTTTAGATTTTTGTTTTTTTGTAAAAATATATTGTGTAGTTATTTAACTTAAAAAAAAATCTAAAATACAGTAATAATTATTGTATTATAGTATTTTTATTGACACATAAATAATTAACATTATATATAATTTAGGTTTAAAAGATATAAAACTTTTTTTTCATTACATATTATTACTATTAATAAAAATTATTATTTAAAAAAATATATATTTATTATTATATAGTTTAAGTATAATTTAGTTTAATTATAATATAGTGACAGTAAATGTATTTAAAGATTGAATTTATAAATAAATTTTTTTTTTATATATATATATAATTTTTACAATTAATAGATTTTTTTCCATGTATAAAATATTATAATAAGTTATCTATTATGCTAATAGTTGTATTTTTCTTGACTAATAATTACAATAAAATCAATTTAATTATTATTATTATTATTATAAATTTACTTACTTTTATTGATCAAAACAAAATATCAATAATAATTTTACGTCATTCTAAAAAAAACATTACTAAATAAATTTTATTATATTATTATTAAATTAAAATTTGTTTAATCATTTTTTTTGTATATAAACTATAGTAACGCAAATTTTTAAAAAAAATAATTAAAAGTGTTAAATCTAATATTTTATAAATTTTTTATTACTACGTACAAATAAATTATTATTATTATTATTATTATTAGATAATGATGATGATGATGAATTTTTAACAATATTAAATTTTTTAAATCGTAAAATTATATTATTATTATTATTAGTATTAATATTTAGAAAATTATTATAATTAGTCAAAATATATTGATAGAAAAATTTCGTAAACTTAGTAAACATTAGGATTGAAAACCCGAACCATAAACTTAATATACTAGCCATTAGACAGAGGTATTCCTCGCTAGACATACGAAACTGGAGTTCATAGATAATATCCGGTTCTTCGGGAAACTTGAAAACTAGTTTATTGCCAATGAATTGTTTAGTTTCTTTGAACGTAATTTGTGTATAATTTTCAATACATAAATTACGTCGAGGACATAGTTTCATACATACGGGCGTTTCACGGAAACTTGAATATAATTCCATTGATATATTATCTATATTGTTATTATTTATTGTATCTTGATGATAATAATATAGAAAATGTCCCGGATACTTGGATCGATTTGTATAGCGTTCCAACATACATTTATCAACACAAACATCATAGGGTTGCCAACTACACTGTCTGTATTGTTGTAGTTTACGGTCATATTTTAATTGCGATTTTTTCAGTCCAATCAAATAGTTTAGTTTACCAACTAATAGATCCATTGGTTTACCATTAGCTAGATTATACAATGGCCATTGACGATGATGTATGTGCATGGTCATTTTTGAAATAGGCATCCGGCTAAAATTATGTACATCAATGGCTATAATATTATCTAGTTTACTATAGCCACCAAAATGATTATATACACTATAGTTACTATCGGGTTCCTGATTGAATTGTCCAAATATGGTCAAACAAACTAGGTCATCGTTCAGGGATAATTTGTACCTAGATGCTTTATTACACATTGTTAATTCAAATTGTTTATTAAAATATGCACATACAAACAATTTATCAATAATATAATCGATTGCCATTAAACTAAATTGTTGCCTATAGTCTAAATTATTGAAATTATTTCTATTAGTAGTTTTATTGGTAGCAATTAGTTCAAGTTTAGGCCAACACAGTGTCAGCGCCGGTAGTATAGTATCGGCGTTAAACTCGTACCTAATGTTAGTAGTGGTGTCGTAACGATAGTAGACAACACTTATTCGATACATTTGATACATACAACCCGTCAAACATAATAAACGACATACTATTTGATAGCTATATTTATACATAGTTTTTAGTTATTAATAATAAGAAAATCACAAAATAAAATAATTTTTTTTTGTAAAAAAAATTTAGATAAAATTAAAAACCTTATTAAATACTGTTTGCATAAACTAAACATAATATTATATATATATATATAGTTTATAACAGTATATATATATATATATTTATTATTATATACTTAATATCGTTTAAATATTGGCAAATAAATCAATAAACTAATATTCCATAAACTTATCATTAAATATGTTATTTTATAAAATTGTAATCCTATATTAAATATTGTTTATAAAATAAAATCATTATTCTATCCATTTATAATAAAAAACAATTACTAAAATTATTGATTTTTTGTGCGTGAAATTATTTTATTTTCAATAATAACAACTAATTTTTTTATTTATTAGAAACTCTAGATTTAATGATTTTATTAATTAATAAAGATTAAGTTTATAATATATTGTATATAAATTTTATAAAAATATTGTATTCAATAAATCAATAATATTTTGAATAAATTATTATATTTTTATTATTAAATAATAAAAACGATTAATTACTAATAAATAACAAAAAATACACATCAATAATAAATTTAAGTCATTAAAATTTTCATTAATAATTATATTAGTATAACATACAAAATAATATATTATTTACTTATATTAAATAAATTATAAACTAAATTAATTAAAAATTTTAATTATTATTTATCTATTTTGATTATTTTTTTATATGTATTATATAATTAAGTTAAGAAAATTTATTTTTTTAATTACTTTTAGTACTACGTATAAATAAAATATTATATTATTATTATTATTATTATTATTATTATTATTATTATTATTATTATTATTATTATTATTTATTATTATTATTATTATTATTATTATTATTATTATTATTTTTATTTTTATTATTAGATGAATGTCCAAAAATATTCAATTGTTTGAATTTTAGATTAATTATATTATTAGATAATTTAAAATTATTATTAGTATTATTATTATTGTTGAAATAATTATTATTATTAAGTCCCAATTGTTTGAATTTTAGATTAATTATATTATTAGATAATTTAAAATTATTATTAGTATTATTATTATTGTTGAAATAATTATTATTATTAATAGTTATAATATATTGATAAATAAATTTCACAAATTTCGTAAACAATAGGACTGAAAACCCGAACCATAAACTTAATATACTAGCCATTAGACAGAGATATTCTTCGATAGACATACGAAACTGGAGTTCATAAATAATATCCGGTTCTTCGGGAAACTGGAATTGAATTAAATTTCGTTGATAATGTGTAATCTCTTTGAACGTAATTTGTGTATAATTTTCAATACATAAATTACGCCTAGGTTTACATAATTCTATACATATGGGAGTTTCCTTAAATTTCGAATAAAATTCCATTGATATATTATTTGTATTATTTAATGTATCTTGATGATAATAATAATATAGAAAATGTGCTGGATAACTCGATCGATTTATATAGCGTTCGATCATACATTTATCAACACAAACATCGTAGGGTTGCCAACTACACTGTCTGTATTTTTGTAATTCGGGATCATATTTTAATTGCGATTTTCTCAATCCAATCAAATAATGTTTACGTCCATCGACTGTCATGTCCATTGGTTTGGCATTTTCCAAATCGTACAATGGCCACTGGCGTCGATGTATGTAAATGATCAATTTTGATACAGGCATCCAGGTAAAATTATACACGTCAATTGTCAAGATATTATCGATTTTATTGTAGCCCTCGAAATGATTATATACCGTATAGTTACTATCGGGTTCCTGGGTGAATTGTCCAAATATGGTCAAACAAACTAGGTCATCGTTCAACGATAATTTGTACCTAGATGCTTTATTACAGATTGTTAATTCAAAGTTTTTATTATAAAATGCACAAGCAAGCAATTTATCGAAAATATAATCGTTTGCCATTAAACTAAATTGTTGCCTATAATTTAAATTATTGAAATTATTTCTATTAGTAGTTTTATTGGTAGCAATAAATTCAAGTTTAGGCCAACACAGTGTCAGCGCCGGTAGTATAGTATCGGCATTAAACTCATATCTAATGTTAGTAGTGGTGTCGTAACGATAGTAGACAACACTTATTCTGTACCATTGATACATACATCCCGTCAAACATAATAAACGACATATTATTTGATAGATATATTTATACATAGTTTTAAGTATTATTAGATTATTATTATTAATAATATAATTTCAAATGATATACGGTATATACGGTTATTGTATAGTAAATCTTTAATTAATATATAATTTCAAATTTATATCATGTATTATATATATATATATAATAAACATTGTTAAATTAAAAAACCTTATTAAATACAGTTACTGTAAACTAAACACAATATTATATAAATATATATTAATACTTAAAATAATTTTTTTTTTAAAAAAAATATTGACAATAATGAATCAATAAACTAATATTACATGATTTTTTTAAATAATAACTAATAATATAATAAAATAATTTTTTGTTTGTATGGAAAAACTTTTATATAAAATACCGTTAGTATAAACTAAACATAATATTGTATATATATATATATATATTTATTTATTATTAATAATTTATTATATCATTTAAATATTGGCAAATAAATCAATAAATTAATATTCCATAAATTTATTATTAAATTTGTTATTTTATAAAATAATAATAATAAATAATATTCGTAATCCCATATTAAATATTGTTTATAAAATAAAATCATTATTCTATCCATTTATAATAAAAAACAATTCCTAAAATTGATTTTTTTTGTGTCTGAAATTATTTTATTTTCAATAATAACAACTAATTTTTTTTATTTATTAGAAACTCTAGATTTAATGATTTTATTAATTAATAGATTAAGTTTATAATATATTGTATATAAATTTTATAAAAATATTGTAATCAATAAGTTAATAATATTTAGAATAAATTATTATATTTTTGTTATTAAATAATAAAAACGATTAATTACTAATAAATAACAAAAAAAATACACATAAATAATAATTTTAAGTCGTTAAAATTTTCATTATATTAGTATTACATAGAAAATAATATTATTTACTTATATTAAATAAATTATAAACTAAATTAAGTAAAAATTTTAATTATTATTTATCTATTTTGATTATTTTTTTATATGTATTATATAATTAAGTTAAGAAAATTTATTTTTTTAATTAAAAATTTAATATTTTAAATTATTTTTACTACTACGTACAAATAAATTATTATTATTATTATTAAATGAATGTTTAAAAATATTCAATTGTTTGAATTTTAGATTAGTTATATTATTAGATAATTTAAAATTATTATTAGTATTATTATTATTATTATTAGTAGTAGTAATAATATATTGATAAATAAATTTCGTAAACTTAGTAAACAATAGGACTGAAAACCCGAACCATAAACTTAATATACTAGCCATTAGACAGAGATATTCTTCGATAGACATACGAAACTGGAGTTCATAAATAATATCCGGTTCTTCGGGAAACTGGAATTGAATTAAATTTCGTTGATAATGTGTAATCTCTTTGAACGTAATTTGTGTATAATTTTCAATACATAAATTACGTCTAGGTTTACATAATTCCATACAAATGGGAGTTTCCTTAAATTTCCTATAAAATTCCATTGATATATTATTTGTATTATTTATTGTATCATGATGATGATAATAATAATAATATAGAAAATGTGCTGGATAACTCGATCGATTTATATAGCGTTCAACCATACATTTATCAACACAAACATCGTAGGGTTGCCAACTACACTGTCTGTATTGTTGTAATTCGGGATCATATTTTAATTGCGATTTTCTCAGTCCAATCAAATAATGTTTTCGTCCATCGACTGTCAGGTCCATTGGTTTTTCATTTTCCAAATCATAGACTGGCCACTGTCGTCGATGTATGTACATGGTCAATTTTGATACGGGCATCCAGGTAAAATTATACGCATCTATTGTCAAAATATTATCGATTTTATTGTAGCCCTCAAAATGATTATATACCGTATAGTTAGTATCCGGTTCACCATTGAATTGACCTAGTATAGTTAAACAAACTAGATCATCATTCAATGATAATTTGTAGCCAGCTGCTTTATGGCAAATTATCATTTCGTAATTTTGATTGAAAAAACCGCATCCAACCATTTTGTTGCGTATAAAATCCATTGACAATCGACTAAATTGTTGTCCATAATTGAAATTATTGAAATTATTTTTAGTAGTTTTATTAGTAGTAGTTTTATTGGTAGCAATTAATTCAAGTTTAGGCCAACACAGTGTTAGCGCCGGTAGTATAGTATCGGCGTTAAACTCGTACCGTATGTTAGTAGTGGTGTCGTAGCGATAGTAGACAGCACTTAGTTTATACATTTGATACATACATCCCGTCAAACATAGTAAACGACATACTATTTGATAGAAATATTTATACATATTATTATTATTATTATTATAATTTTAAATAATATACGGTATATACAGTTATTATATATTATTTTTTTAATAATATATTATATAAATTATAATATATGTTATATATATATATATATAAGAAAATTGGTTAAATTAAAAAAAACCTAATTGTAAATACAGTTACTGTAAACTAAACATAATATTGTTTTTATATATAGTTATACTTAAAAACATTTAACAAAAAATATTGACAACAAAATGAATCAATAAACTAATATTTCATAAATTTTTAGTACTATTATATTTGATTTATTATTATTATTATTAGATAATAACAATAATAATAATAATTTTTATATGTATAAAAAATATTGTTTATTAGAAAAAATTGTTTTTCTATCCATAATATTGAAAAATTAAAAACAATTACTATAATTGATTTTTTTAGGTGAAAATATTTTATTTTTAATAACAATAAATAATTATTATTTTTATTGAACTTATAGTACTAATTAATAAATATGAATTGTTATTATTATTATTATGTCATATAAAATATTTTCAATAAAATAATAAATACATGATTTAATTAATTTTTTTTGTTATTCAATAAATTATTACCATTTTTTTCTAATTAAATACAAAGAAAAATCATTATTAATCAAAATCTAATTGCTTTTAAAATAAATAAATAATATATAAATTTGAAAATTTAAATTATTATTATATATCATAATTATATAGATTTATTTGTTTTGTAGATTTAATTTTATTTGAATATTAAGTTAAAATWAAAAAATTAATTAATTTGTGTAAAATTTAATCATAAATGTATAATTTTAAAAAAATACTTATAATATATTAGTAATTTTTAATTATAATTTATTGAACAAGTTTATTATTTTATATAGTTTTAGAATTTGAAGATTTATTTAAAAAATAAAAAATATTAATAAATGTTTCAAAATATCTATAATAGATTATTTATAGATATTTAGATTTCCTCAACTGAACATGATCATTTTTGTTACATTACATTACAATTAATTATTGTTAAATTTTAGTAAAATTAATATCTTATTAAATTTTTTTATTAAAAAATAATTCATATATTAAACCATTTATTTTTCATTCATAATATATCGCATTTTGGCGCACCTGTAGTATTAGTGTTGTAGTCATTGTCCGACACAATCGACCACTTGATTGTCCACTCCTTAGACAACTGGCCGTCCAATTGAAGATTTAGTTCAATCTCAGTACCCGCTGACTGGTGACTGGCTTTTACTGGGCTATCGTTAAGTGTAGCCAATACTTGGCCACTGGGATCGGTATCTACTACTACTATCTTGTTTATAATGGGCACCGGTACACCAGTTGACAGGAGTCCACTCTTAAGCACCGTTATGTTTAGCAAACAGTTTGTCAATTCAAATCTATATAAATTGTATTTATTGTCATCAATGATACCGATACTATCGCCGTCGTCCCAAAATAGTTCACCCGAAGCCCGATAATTACTGACAGCCGACTGTCCACTACTACTATTGATAGGCAATACAATCAAATTTAGCCGGCGAAACGTTTCCCGCTGGCCAGTTGTACTGACTAGTCGATGGTCGCTAACCATCGGTATTATTGAACCGCCTCGAAAATGTACGGGCGGTGTACCCGATTGGGTATCCGGTATCAGTACCCGGCCAGTAGTGGCCACGCGTTTGAATTGAGGTCGAACTTCATACCATCGGTCACCGGGCGGTAGATAACCATTGATTTCGGTTTTATTCTTCAAAATAAGAGGACAGTTAGATATCATGTAGTTTACAATGGGTTAGGTATATATATATACAGTATATACTACTATACCTCATACATGATGGGCGATATTAGTATACTGGAGCCCCACAGAAATTGCTGGTCAATGTCGTGGATAATCGGGTCGAGTGGCCACTCGTGAAACATTGGTCGGGCAACTGTACCACCGTTTAGATGTGACCTATAGAATAGTGTATACAAATGTGGTAGCAGTTGATAGCGTAATTGTAGCGACGATCGGGCAGCATCGGTAACCTCCCGATGACCGCGATCGGCCCAGACAGCCGGGTCCTGGTCAGTGTTGGACTGTTCGTTATGGTTACGGCTGAACGGATAGAAAGCGCCCAATTGGTGCCACCGGAGACACAGTTCGGCAGTTGTCTGCTCATTGAATCCGCATATGTCGGCCCCTACCTACAATCATCCCCACCCCCACCCAGGGAGTGTCATACAAATTACTGCTATTAATTTGCTTTCAAAAATCACTGTATAAATAGCTATATATATATATAATTACAAAATTGATGCCAAACATGTTAAACTCTAGCATTCCGATTACGGAGTTCCTCAAGTGTGTCCATTTGGATGCATTATCGCCCAACCAATGGGCAGCGTAACGGCCGGATGTTACATAAGTGTTACGTGATAATAGCATACCGCGTTTGCCAGTTGTCGACTGTATAGCACTGGTAGGTGTTATAAACACATATGTATGTTAGTATAATAAAATACTATATTTAAAAAATAAGTTTTTTTTTGGGGGGGGGTCTAACTTTTTGGTACTTATCGACTGTTTTAGGCCATAGATATTGTGAACATCATAGTGCAGGTACTCATCCTCCTGGCTAGTGGTCGACGACCCTAATCGGCATACCATACACATTGTCCAGGCAGACAATTGTGGACCAGCATACAAGGCGTCTATTATTAGTTAATTAATAAAACAAATATACAATATATATATTTATATATATGATACTAATAATTGATACTGGTGCGCACTGTTAGCTATTGTATAACTGGTTACATGGCTACCTGATCTAAACGGTGGATAGTCGTACTTGTTTTTAGGACATTTCATACCGGACGAGTCTACCGGTTCATTCATGTCCTAATTATTTTTTATTTTTAAAAAAATATATATTTATTAAATGCTAATAAAAATAAAACAATTATTTTGTTTTAAACACCGAATAATCAGTACATACCGTCCATAAGCCGTCAAACGGTAGTACACTATGAAACTGGCGGATCTGATTGGCCCACCATTGGTCGGTACGATTGGCAAACCAGTCGACATAGGCTACCGGTCCGTCGGGCCACATATGACCATAGTATATACCTTTATCTAGAGGTACATCATGAGGATAGTGTCTGTCCTTAACCGGTACCGTTGGATCCCATCGGACAAATACGTTATCAGTGTAGCCCAGGTCAAAGGTCGAGTAGTTTTTCCTTAAGCTAGCTTCGACATGCGGTTCGATGACCAGTGTCCAGCGTATACCGTTTTGATGTCTGGTATCCCCCATCAGCTCCGGTAGACCATTGAATGCTACCGTATCGTAGGTAAAGTCACGGAAACGGTTCATATAGTCGATGTCGACATACATGACATCCTAATTGAGTGGATGTGTGTGTGTTTATGTGTTAGAGAGCACAGGTATGTTAGAAATTACAAAATAATAAAACCTAACAAAACTAACCAATGGTATCGATTCACGTAAGTTACGGTCAATGGTTTGCTTTACGTGACTGGTATTTTTGAAACCATACCGACACAGTTGATAGCCTAGTGCCCAAAATGGTGGCATATGAGTGCGGCCAATCACCGATGTATACAATTGGATAACGTGTTCGGGATTGTCGCCCATAAACAGGAAAAAGTCTAGAATACCGCCGCCCGACTTCAACGCCAATCCCGGTTCGGGTAGTAGTGTATAGTCTAGTATTAATTAATTATTATTACTATTATTACTTATACACAGTATTTAATTATCTAATAGTTAGATAGATTGTGTTACGGTTTGGGTATTTTTTTAATTGTTGTAAAAATCTTTGATATTAATTTTTTTTTTAAATGTTTGGTTCGGTTTACTAATTAATGACAACAACAAAATTTTAGAAAAAAACATAATTTTTTTTTTGTGAACATTATTACAATCTTATCTAAAAAACAAAAAATAAATAAATAATAGTTATTGTAATCATAAACGAGTGATTAGTATTTTTAAGACATTTTTTTAATATATATTATATATATTTATTATATCTATAATACCCATAACATTGCTGTTGAGGAACAGTACTCCATGCGCTTTGCCATCCGTTTCCAGTACCGTATAAAATGGTTGAATACCGTATAGATTATGCGGATAGTTATCACGTATGCCTCCCGGTTCCCTACCGAACATTGACCACGTTTTGTAGGCCATATTGTGTCTGAGTGTTTGATGTAGATTTTCACCGAAACCGTATACCCGATCGGTGGCCAAATTTGTGGCCAACTGTACAAATTGATCGGAATATATTAGTCCACCTATTGATGTATCAAATCTGATGGACAAAATTAATTAAATAAAATAATTTATTTAAAAAAAAATAATATTATAATATCAAATATAATATATACGGTATATAAATTATTTATATTTTTTAGTAAATACTTTTAAAAAAAAATAACTAAAAATATTTTTTTGTTATTCATTCAAAAGTTTACATACAATTTAGTTTTTGTTGATTTTCGGGTAATTGCAAACTGAAAGTCAGTCAAATTGGTGCCCAAATCCAGTGAATACTGGCGCCGATTGGCATCCATTTCCTCTGAATCCAACAAATTGAATGTCGACTGAATGGGTACTTCATATCGGCGATGTTTGGCATCTCTGAGCGTAAATCTCAGGATATTTTCGGTCATATATTTGACCGAAAATTTTAACAATTCTACGGACGGTTCGGTTAACGTTCGACGGGCCGTATCTTTGAGCTGTAGATCCAGATCTAGACCCGAATCGGTTGGCTTTACTGAGTCGACTACTACTCGATAGCCGACCAGTTTTGGGTCCAAATAACATATGGGAATACCCTGTGGTCGGGGATTGGGATCCCAAATACAGTTACGCAATTCACACGACTGTTTGTCCACATGAAAGTCATCTTTAAAAAAAATATTTTAAATTAATTAATAAAATATGTATTTTTTCACAAATAAAAACTTACTTTCAATATAACAATCTAATCGATTGTTTAAATTTTCTGCAAAACAGTTATTTGAAAATATAAATACTAATAATAAAATAATATTAAATATTTTATAAATTATTAACATTATTTTAGTTTTAAAATTAGTATTATAGTAGAAAACAGTTAGTCTTATTATTTTATATAAAGTTATCGTTTTATTTATAAATTTATATATTTTCTAATTAAACAATAAAAATAAAATATCTAATTAATAAAAATATCTATAATTGTTATTTATATATCTTATATAAGTTATATAACACACAAACAAATTAATCTTATCGCAAAAAAAACAAATATTTTTAATAAATTTATTAGCGATAAATTTAAGAAAATTAAACACATGTTAAATATCTATATTATTATTTTTTTTATAACTATAATAATATTAATATATAATTAACAATAACTAGGATATCATTAAAATTATAACCTATAATATTATTAAGTGTTATTTATAGTATTTATAAAAAAGATATTAAAATAAAAAATTAAATGAATAAATTTAAAATATAATTTAAAATAATAATATTATTTATTTTTATTATTTAGAATATTATTCTCTTATTTTAGTAAAAATATTAATATATAAATACATAAATAATAAGTTTTTAAATTATACTGTTTATTATATATTATGAATAATACATAATTTTTTTTAAATATTATTTAATTTTAAATAATAAATAATTTTAATGATTAGAATAAAATATTAATTATAATAAATATTTTTTCTGAATAAAAAAATATTATTATTATATTTACAGTATTGTAACTAGGGTTTTAAAAGTAATAAAACATAAAAACAATAGATGTCAATTTTTAATAAAATAAATAATAATTATACTGAAAATAAAATTTATCTAACAATACGTGAATTACGATTTATAAAACTAACATTATTAATTTGCATATTTCTAACATGACTCAAATTATGGACACTATGGTTATTATTATTATTATTATTATTATTATTATTATTATTAATATTGTTATTATTATTAATATTGTTATTATTATAATTATAATTTACAATAATATAATTGACAATCGTTTGTGTCATTGTCTGAACACTGATACCAAACCATAGACCAAATATGGATGCCATTAGACATAGATATTCTTCGACTGGCATTTTCAGATATAATTCGTAGACAGTTGTCGGTTCTGGCGGATAATTAACGTACAATATATACGTATTTTTCATACGTTGTTTTGCAATAAATTCATCCAGATAATCTTTATCGAATGTTACCGAATAAAATGTCGATTGACATTGATGATTTTTATTATTATTATTATTACTAGCTAAACACTTTTGGTAACAACCGTATTCAATAGATTTATTTGTATACGAACCAGGTGAAAACAATAAATTTGATCCAGCAGCCACTAATTGACCATAATATAGTATAGTACCTGGATACATTTGAAATTTGGATATATATCTATTAATAACGCATTGTGCCCGACATTCATCTTGATAATAATTTTTCAGACATTGTTGTTGTTGTTGTCCAGCACCTGTGTGTTTGACTAAAATTTTTTTATAGCTCATGTAGCACAGTGTACCCGATTGGACATTCAATATGGCCGAACCGCGCCTAAATATTTCGTATACAGTTTCATCCCATGGATGTAATGTAACAAATATATGTTGACCCAACCATGTTAGGTTATTGTTTGTCAACAAAATTTGTGCTAGATATCTAGATTCTAGACTAATACTGTTACCTAAATTTAGATACCTGTGCTCTGGTTTACCATCAATTTGACCAAAAAATGTTAGACAAATATATTGGCTATTTATGGCCAGTTTATAATCGGTAACGGTTGAACATTGTTGATATTTACCGCTAATCGGATCGTTCATTAAACATATGATTGTTGATAACAATTCAATAATATCAATGCTAGCAAACTGTTTGTTCAAGGTAAAATTATTATAATTTAACTGATTTATTAATTTATCACTGTTATTATTATTATTATTATTATTATTATTATTATTATTATTATTATTATTATTATTTTTATTATTAGTAGTAGTAGTAATAAATGCCGTTTTTTCAATACAAACAGTTATACCAGGTAAACTAGTATATAATTTTATTTCATAATTAATACTGGTCGATTTTTCATATTGAAAATAAATGATACTGATTTTAACAGTTTGATAAATGCAACCGGCTAAACAAATTAGTTTAATAATAATACTGTTATAGTTTAACAATAATAATTTTAAGTTAAACATTTCTACCTAAAATATATTTATATATTGTATATTACTATAATTAATTATAAATTATTTCAATTAAATATATTTTTACTTTAACAATATATTTTTATAGTTAACTATATAATCTTTTTTTTTACTGAAAACTTTAATAAAATAAATTACTAAAATTTTCATTATATTTCTATGTATATATATATAATAATATTTTTATTTCATTTGGAAATATTTATTTTAAGATTTATTTTTTAGGTGTGGTTAAATATAATGAATTTAATTAACTAAAATAAACAATAACAAAAAATATTATTATTATTATTAATAACTTATACATTATTTTAATTAGATATTTATTTTTTTATTTTTTTATTGTGTAATATAATGTTAAAAAAATAATACTAATGAAATAAATGTAAACAACAATATTTTGCAATAATTTACCTATTTTTCCCCCTATATATTTCATAATATTACATATGATTATTTTTATTTAATTATTTTTTTATTTTGTTTTTTTTAATTTATTTGTTTTTAATTTATTTTAAGATCTAACAATTATATAACAACTAAATTGCATTTTTAATTAATTTTTGAAGTTAATAAAATCAGTAAAAAAAATTATTTTATTATAGATACACTAAAATTATTGATTATAATTATCAATATATAAAAATACCTGACTTATCAATACTTTTAAAAAAATTATAAATAACAGTTAATAATATTATAGATTATTAATAATAATAATATATATATATAACATTAAGTTTAATTTATTTTGAAATAATAACAATTATCATATATAACTGCAATAATAAATTAATAAAATCAAATAAATAATTTATTTTAAAAAAGTATTATAGATAAACTAAAATTATTGATTATAATTATCAATATAAAAATACCTGACTTATCAATACTTTTTTTTTTAAAAAAAAATTTATAAATAACAGTTAATAATATTATATATAGATTATAATTTTAATGATATAATTAGTTATTGTTAATTATATATTAATATTATTAAAGTTATAAAAAAATAATAATACATATATTGAACACGTGTTTAATTTTCTCAAATTTATCGCTAATAAATTTATTAAAAATATTTGTTTGTTTTTTGCGATAAGATTAATGTGTTTGTGTGTGTTATAACTTATATAGATATATAAATAACAATTTTTTTTAATTAAATATCTAATTTATATTGTTTTTTATTAGAAAATAAATTTTATAAAAAACAATAACTTTATTAAAAAAATAATAAGACTAAATATTTTTTTACTATATAGTATTATTTTAAAACTAAAATAATGTTAAAAATTTATAAAATATTTAATATTATTATTAGTATTTTATTAGTATTTAAATTTTCAAATAATTGTTTTGCAGAAAATTTAAACAATCGATTAGATTGTTATATTGAAAGTAAGATTTTATTTTTGTTTTAAATATATATACTTTTTTTAATTAATTTTTTTTATATAAAAAATAAGATGACTTTCATGTCGATAAACAGTCGTGTGAATTGCGTAACTGTATTTGGGATCCCAATCCCCGACCACAGGGTATACCCATATGTTATTTGGACCCAAAACTGGTCGGCTATCGTGTGGTAGTCGACTCAGTAAAGCCTACCGACTCGGGTCTAGATCTGGATCTACAGCTCAAAGATACGGCCCATCAAACCTTAACCGAACCGTCCATAGAATCGTTAAAATTTTCGGTCAAATATATGACCGAAAATATCCTGAGATTTACGCTCAGGGATGCCAAACATCGTAGATATGAAGTACCCATACAATCGACATTCAATTTGTTGGATTCGGTGGAAATGGATGCCAATCGGCGCCAGTATTCACTGGATTTGGGCACCAATTTGACTGACTTTCAGTTTGCAATTACCCGAAAATCAACGAAAACTAAATTGTATGTAAACTTTTGAATGAATAACAAAAAAAAATATTTTTAGTTATTTTTTTTTAAAAAAAGTATTTACTAAAAAATATAAATAATTTATATACTATTTATATTATATTTGATATTTTAATATTAATTTTAAACTAAAAATTAATTAATTTTGTCCATCAGATTTGATACATCAATAGGTGGTCTAATATATTCCGATCAATTCATACAGTTGGCCACAAATTTGGCTACCGATCGGGTATACGGTTTCGGCGAAAATCTACATCAAACACTCAGACACAATATGGCCTACAAAACGTGGTCAATGTTCGGTAGGGAACCGGTAGGCATACGGGATAACTATCCGCACAATCTGTACGGTATTCAACCGTTTTATACGGTACTTGAAACGGATGGCAAAGCGCATGGAGTACTGTTCCTCAACAGCAATGTTATGGGTATTATAGATATATACAGTATTTTTAAAAAAAATGTCTGAAAAAAACTAATCACTTATTTATGATTACAATAACTATTTGTTTGTTTGTTTGTTTGTTAGATAAGATTGTAATAATGTTCACAAAAAAACTTTTTTTCCTGTTTTTTTCCTAAAAATTTTTTTTTGCTATTAATTAGTAAACCAAACCAAACATTTTTAAATTATTATTAGATTATTAAAAACTAACTTTAATATTATAGTTTATTACAACAATTAAAATAAATAAAAAAAATACCCAAACCGTAACCCAATCTATCTAACTAGTAGATAATTAAATAGTGTTTAATAGTAATATTAATTAATACTAGACTATACACTACTACCCGAACCGGGACTGGCGTTGAAGTCGGGCGGCGGTATTCTAGACTTTTTCCTGTTTATGGGCGACAATCCCGAACACGTTATCCAATTGTATACATCGGTGATTGGCCGCACTCATATGCCACCATTTTGGGCACTGGGCTATCAACTGTGTCGGTATGGTTTCAAAAATACCAGTCATATAAAACAGACCATTGACCGTAACTTACGTGAATCGATACCATTGGTTAGTTTTGTTTAGTTAGGTTTTAGTAATTTTGTTCTTTTCTTGGTAACATACCTGTGCTCTCTAACACATACACACACACACATCCACTCAATTAGGATGTCATGTATGTCGACATCGACTATATGAACGGTTTCCGTGACTTTACCTACGATCCGGTGGCATTCAAAGGCCTACCGGAGCTGATGGGGAATACCAGACAGCAAAACAGTATACGCTGGACATTGGTCATCGAACCGCATGTAGAAGCTAGCTTAAAGAAAAACTACTCGACCTTTGACCTGGGCTACACTGATAACGTGTTTGTCCGATGGGATCCAACGGTACCGGTTAAGGACAGACACTATCCTGACGAGGATGTACCACTAGATAAAGGTATATACTATGGTCATCAGTGGCCCGACGGACCGGTAGCCTATGTCGACTGGTTTGCCAATCGTACTGACCAATGGTGGGCCAATCAGATCCGCCAGTTTCATAGTGTACTACCGTTTGACGGCCTATGGACGGTATGTACTGATTATTGGAGTTTTTTTTAATAAAATAATTGTTTTATTTTTACATATTTATAAAAAAATTAGGACATGAATGAACCGGTAGAGTCATCCGGTATGATATGTCCTAAAAACAAGTACGACTATCCGCCGTTTAGATCAGGTATGTAAACAGTATTATATACTGTATATATATATTGATAATAGCTAATTGTGCGCACCGGTGTGATCAGCTAACTATTAGTAATACAAAATATAATTTTGATTTATTATTATTATTATTAACAATAATAGACGCCCTGTATGCCGGTCCTCAATTGTCTGTCTGGACAATATGTATGGTATGCCGATTAGGGCCGTCGACCACCACCACCATCACTGGCCAGGAGTCGGAGGAGGAGTACCTGCACTATGATGTTCACAACATCTATGGCCTGAAACAGTCGATAAGTACCAAAAAGTTAGACCTACCCCCCCCCCACCCAAATAAACACAGTATTTTATTATACTAACATACATATGTCTGTTTGTTTGTTTAACACCTACCAGTGCTATACAGTCGACAACTGGCAAACGCGGTATGCTATTATCACGTAACACTTATGTAACATCCGGCCGTTACGCTGCCCACTGGTTGGGCGATAATGCATCCAAATGGACACACTTGAGGAACTCCGTAATCGGAATGCTAGAGTTTAACATGTTTGGCATCAATTTTGTAATTATATATATAGCTATTTATACAGTTATTTTTGAAAGCAAATTAATAGCAGTAATTTGTATGCCACTCTCGGGGGTGGTGGTGGTGGGGGTGGGTGGTGTCTGTAGGTAGGTGCCGATATATGCGGATTCAATGAGCAGACAACACCGGAATTGTGTCTCCGATGGCACCAATTGGGCGCTTTCTATCCGTTCAGCCGTAACCATAACGAGCGGTCCAACTCTGACCAGGATCCGGCTGTCTGGGCCGATCGTGGTCATCGGGAGGTTACCGACGGTGCCCGATCGTCGCTACAGTTACGCTATCAACTGCTACCACATTTGTATACACTATTTTATCGGGCACATCTGACTGGCGGGACAGTTGCCCGGCCAATGTTTTACGAGTGGCCACTCGACCCGATTACCCACGATATTGATCAGCAATTTATGTGGGGCTCCAGTATACTAATATCGCCCATCATGTATGAGGTATAGTAGTATATACTGTATATATATATATATATATATATATATATATAGCTAACTCATTGTAAAGTACATGACATACTGTATATAATATATATCTGTATATATAATATATATCTGTATATATAATATATATCTGTATATAATATATATCTTTATATAATATATATCTGTATATAATATATATCTTTATATAATATATATCTTTATATAATATATATCTTTATATAATATATATCTGTATATAATATATATCTAACTGTCCTCTTATTTTTAAAGAATAAAACCGAAATCAATGGTTATCTACCGCCCGGTGACCGATGGTATGAAGTTCGGCCTCAATTCAAACGTGTAGCCACAACTGGCCGGGTAGTGATTCGTGACCCTCAATCGGGTACACCGCCCATACATTTTCGGGGCGGTTCAATAATACCGATGGTTAGCGACCATCGACTAGTCAGCACCACTGGTCAGCGGGAAACGTTTCGCCGGCTAAATCTTATTGTATTGCCAACCAATAGTAGTAGTGGACAGTCGGCTGTCAGTAATTATCGGGCCACGGGTGAACTATTTTGGGACGACGGCGATAGTATCGGTACCATTGAACAAAACAAATACAATTTATATAGATTTGAATTGACAAACTGTTTGCTAAACATAACGGTACTTAAGAGTGGACTATACCAGTCGTCCACTGGTATACCGGTGCCCATTATCAACAAGATAGTAGTGGTTGATACCGATCCCAGTGGCCAAGTATTGGCTACACTTAACGATAGTCCAGTAAAAGCCAGTCACCAATCGGCGAGTACTGAGATTGAACTAAATCTTCAATTGGACGGCCAGTTGTCTAAGGAGTGGACAATCAAATGGTCGATAGCATCGGACAATGACTACAACACTAATACTACAGGTGCGCCAAAATGCGATATATTATGAATGGAAAAATAAATGGTTTTAATTATCTATTTTTTAAATTTAATATATTCAAATTATTTTTTAATAAAATAAAAATATAAAATTAATTTTACTAAAATTTAACAATTATTAATTTGATGTAATGTCACAAAAAATTAAGTATTTTTACTAATATTAAATAGCTTATTTAATTGATTAGTGTTTGGTATTTTTTCTTATTAAATAATATTGACATCTATTGTATCTATGTTTTACTACTTTTTAAAACCCTAGTTACAATACTGTAATAATGTTGTTAAAATTTAATAATAATAATAAATTTTTTAGAAAAAATAGTTATCATATTTATAATAAAATACTTATATTCAACTAATATTTTATTCTAAACATTATTATTATTATTATTATTTAAAATTAATTAATACAAAAAATATTATCTGTCATTTAGAATATATAATATATATTATGATTAAAAAACTTTATATTTATGTATTTATTATTATTATTACAAAACAAGAGAATAATATTCTAAATAATAAAAGTAAATAATAATATTATTATTATATATATTATATTTATAACATAAATATTTTTTAACTTATTGTTGCTAACAACAAATGTTTGTTTGATTAAAATTTTCAAAATTAATTATAAATTTTCATTTATAGTTATCTTATAAATAAACATATAACTATATATATATATATACCGTATGTACACATTGAAATTTATTGAAAATTTTAGTAATTTATTTTAAGTAAAATTCGGAAACAAATATATATTTAAATGCAAAAATATAGTAAAAGTAAAAATAAATTAATTTTACTATTTAAACGCAATATGATTTTATTTATTTATTTTTTAATGTAAACAAATTATAATTTATTAAATATATTTTTTTTTGGTAGAAATGTTTAACTAAAAATTATTATGGCTAAACTAAATAACACTATTATTATTAAACTAATTTGTTTAGCCGGTTGCATTTATCAAACTAGCAAAATCAGTATCATTTATTTTCAATATGAAAAATCGACCAGTGTTAATTATGAATTAAAATTATATACTAGTTTACCTGGTATAACTGTTTGTATTGAAAAAACGGCATTTATTTTTAATAATAATAATAAAAATAATAACAATGATAAATTAATAAATTTAACAAATTTAAATGAAAAATATTATACCAATTTTACCTTGAACAAACAGTTTGCTAGCATTGATTTTATTGAATTGTTATCAACAATCATATGTTTTATGAACGATCCGATTAGCGGTAAATATCAACAATGTTCAACCGTTACCGATTATAAACTGGCCATAAATAGCCAATATATTTGTCTAACATTTTTTGGTTAAATTGATGATAAACCTGAGCACCGGTATCTAAATTTAATTAACAGTATTAGCGTTGAATCTAGATATTTAGCACAAATTTTGTTTACAAATAAAAATCTAACATGGTTGGGTCAACATATATTTGTAACCTTACATCCATGGGATGAAACACTGTACGAAATATTTAGGCGCGGTTCGGCCATATTGAATGTCCAATCGGGTACACTGTGCTACATGAGCTATAAAAAAATTTTAGTTAAACATACAGGTGCTGGACAACAACAACAACAGTGTCTGAAAAATTATTATCAAGATGAATGTCGGGCACAATGTGTTATTAGTAGATATGTATCCGAATTTCAAATGTATCCAGGTACTATACTATATTATGGTCGATTAGTAACTGGATCAAATAATATTGGCAATTTATTATTTTCACCTGGTTCTTATACAAATAAATCCATTGAATACGGTTGTTACCAAAAGTGTTTAGCTAGTAATCAAAATCATCAACAACAACAATGTCAATCGACATTTTATTCGGTAACATTCGATAAAGATTATCTGGATGAATTTATTTCGAAACGTATGAAAAATACGTATTTATTGTACGTTAATTATCCGCCAGAACCGACAACTGTCTACGAATTATATCTGAAAATGCCAGTCGAAGAATATCTATGTCTAATGGCATCCATATTTGGTCTATGGTTTGGTATCAGTGTTCAGACAATGACACAAACGATTGTCAATTATATTATTAGAAATTATAATAATAATAATAATAATAACCATAACCATAGTGTCAACAATATTAGACATGTTAGAAATATTCAAATTAATAATGTTAGTTTTATAAATCGTAATTCACGTATTGTTAGATAAGTTTTATCAAAATTTTATTTTCAATATAATTATTTTTTTTATATATATAAAAATATGTATTATTACTAAAATTATATAACTTATTTAATTAATTAGTTTGTTATTTTTTAATAATAAAAAATTGATATTTTACTACTTTTAAAATCCTAGTTACAATACTTTAATAAAGTTGTTTAAGTATAATAATATTTTTTTTTAGAAAAAATAGTTATCATAATTATATTCAACTAATATTTACTAACTAAACATTATTATTATTATTTAAAAATAATTAATACAACAAATATATGTTTTATTTATAATATATAATATTCAGTATAATTAAAAAAATAATTATTTATGTATTTAATATTCTAAATAATAAATATAAATAATATTATGTATTTAATTATATATAAGTATTTTAAAATAGTTTTAAATTTTTATTAATTTTATAAAAATAATTTTGATTTTTATTAATTGTTTTTTTCTAAAAAAATAAATAAATTTTTAGTTATATTGTTTTTATAGTATTTACATAAATTAAATGATCATTTTATTTGTGATAAATATTTACACATTAATTATTATTATACTATTTTATTGTTTATTACTTTTATAATTATGATTTTTATTTTACTAAATAATTTAGTGTAATAATTAATCGTATATATTTGTCAAAAAAATTGCATATAATTAATATGCCTATTATTATTTGTTAATATTTTAATAGTACGGATAGACTAGAGTAGAGTAAAATAAATTTTTTTAAAAATATAATTATAATTATTAATGATATATAGATTAATGACTTTAAGATTTATAAATATTTAATGTTTGAAATCAATAATATTCTTAAATAATAACGAAATATATTTATTTAAACTATTTTTGTCATTTATTCTTGAAAATAATATTATTAATTATAAATGATATATTAATTATTTATATATATATATATATATATAATATACTGTATATATGAAAACACAATAGTTTTTTATTTATTGATTTTATAATTAACTTACATATACTGTACTGTAATATCAGTGTAATGTGCTTTCATTTGTGTTTGAAAAAATTATTATCAAATATTTATTTTAAAAAAATACATAATAATATAAATTAATAAAATCTAGTTAACAAACAAACATCACTGACTAGTTTATACACTAGAAATTAATTTTCATAATTATAAAATAATAAATATTGCTTGTTTATTATAGATTATATATATTGAATAATAAAGTAAAAATATTTAAAAATAATTGAATATAATAATAATTACTATAACTGTAACTATTGTAATAATATTGTAATTAACTAAACATATAAATTAATAATAATAATAATAATAATAATATAAACATACATATATTGAAATCAATGGCAAAAATAAATTTTGAAAAACTTGATATATTTTTATCAAAACATTTGGTGCTAACCTATCGATCGTTTGGCGACTACTTGTCCGCCGCCAATACAGGAGCCAACAATAGACACTCACCACACACATCACACCCACCATCAATGGCCAGACTGTTGAAAAAATGTCTACTCAAATTGGCCTGCCTGCTAACCATAGTACGCTTCTCTATGTCGGCTATTGTCAACCAGGACACTATCCGATCATTGATGTGTGATCCACATTATCTGCTAAGTCATAAACGTCTCAATTCGTTGATGTTTAGCGCCGGTATATTCGTAGCCAACCTATCCATTGGCGGCCTATTCCTATGGTTTGAACTCAATCATCAGCTATGGATCGTTGAGTATTTGCGTAGTATTGAACAACACTATTATTATTATAACAATACAATGATTACTCAAAAAAATAATAATGATAATCATTATGGACTAAATCATAGATATTTATCGAAATATAATTTTCATTTAAAAATTCTACTTGATTATATTTTAAATAAATGGCATTTGAATTTATTTTTATTAATAAATCTAAGCTATTTTTATGGCTTAACATTGTTGGCCTATATGGACAATGGCAGTAATTTTACCATGCTGAATTTGATAATATGGAACGTATTGATTTATTTTTGGTGTCTAGATTTTATTGGTATTTTTTAAATATTTTATTTTTTAAAAATTTAAAATATTATAAAATATAATTTTCTAATATTTTAATCTAGCTATTTTATTTGGTTGTTCAGCATTGGCTTATCTATGCTTATTATATCCTAGATTACAATTTCAACAATTATATTATGAAACAAAATATCAAGTTAGATTAAATAATCTAGATGGTATAAAACAATTACTGATTAAACATAATCAAATATCCATGTCCATATATGAATTAAACAAAATGTTCAAGTACATTATGTTTATAGTCTATTATTTAACAATGATACCCCTGAATGGTTTAATCTATATGTTTCACAGTACTGATAATATTCAAGCAAAACTAGTATTGTTAATGTTTTTTCTATCGTGTATATCGATAGTGTTTTTGGTCACCCTATTGGCCGCAACAATAACCTATTGGGCGCATAAATTTTATTATCTATTAAACAATTTTGTGGCTAATAATTCAATTAATCAATTAAATGGTAATAATAATAATCATTATTATATTAATACAATTGTTAGTAATAAAAATAAAAATAATACTATTATTACTAATAATAATAATAATAATAATTATAATAATACCAATAATAAAACTACTGTTAAAACTAATATGACTACAAATCTAAAATTGAATAATAAGTTAAAATTAGGATTAAAATTTAATTGTTTAAATAAATTAAAATTTTTGTGCCTAATTGAACATTTGGGTTTAAATCAAATTGGTTTCTATTGTTTGGATATGTTTGCTATAACTAAATGGGAATT